CAGCCTTGCTGGCTGGGGAATTCTGGGAGTTGAAGTCCACACATCTTAAAGTGGACAAGGATGAGAAACACTGGACTAGACGATCCTTGGGATACCTTCCGATTTTACAATTCGTTTTGCCAGGACGTCCTTCCCCACAGCCCTCCTCTCTCCGTCTCTACCTAACATGCCCCAGAATCCAGATTAATTTAGAGAACGGAAGACGCGCCTGCGTCGAAGGGGGCTGGAGTTCTCCCGTCCCAACAGCGGCCCCCGCGATTGTAGGGGCGTGGCGAGGAAACCAATTGGTTCGCAAGGGAGCTGCGGCAGCCATTGGCCGTCGGGGCCCTTCGATGGCGCTTCCGCGGTTGCTTTTCCTTTGGGCGGCCGTAACGGCAGCGGCAGCCGCTGCTAATTCCCGGCCTTTGTGGGAATGGGAGGCGATCGCCCGTTTGCAGCCGGGGGCGGAAGAGGCGCGCCAGGCAACAGCGGTGTGGGAGCTGCGGGAGCGGCTTCTGGGCCCGAGGGCAGCCTCCGCCTTCGCGGTGCCCGTGAACCGGTCTTTGGCCGGGCCTGGCGGTCTCGACACTTACCGGCTGAGCTCGGAGGCGCCGGGCACGGTAAACGTCTCTGGCTCCAGCGGAGTGGCCGCCGCCTCGGGGATCTACCATTACTTGAAGGACTTCTGCGGCTGCCACGTCTCCTGGTCCGGGACGCAGCTCCGACTGCCGGAGAGTTTGCCGCCGGTCTCCGCAGAGATCGTCGTCACCAGTCCCAACAGGTGATTCGATTCCGGAGGAGAAGGAAGGCAAAGGATCCATAACCTCTGTTTGCGAAGCAGGAGTATATCCGGCTTCCCCTTGAAAATATGGGAAGTCAAGGCGTATCTCTTTGAGCGCGCCCGGGAAGCCGAGTTCTGCTTCAGATAAGTTCTCCGCTCTGCAGGTGGCCCGAAACTTTTGAGCCTTAATTACTCGGTGCTGAAATGACATTCAGCAGAATGTTGGCCCGGAGATGTGTCTGGGACTTACTGAACCTCCGATTGCCCAGTCGTTGTTTAAGGCAAAGGGGTTCTCTCCAGGCCTCATGCCTGTAATGTGGCAAGCATTGCCTTAACACGCATGGATTAATGATCACTTGGTCTCTCCCAATGTGTAAAATTCGGTCAGCCCTTTTCCCATTGAGGCTGAGCAGAAATAATTTTCCAAGTGCAGTACAAAGCCTTATCTCCCAATGAACTTGAGCCCCAGTGGTTTACTTTAAATTTAAAGTGCCTATTCTACCAAAAAGGAATGATGGATTTCAGATTGGTACACAGGAATATGCAGACTTGAAAATTGTAAATGTGCATTTTGCTTGAACTCTGTGGCCCATTGATTAGAGTCAGGGTCAAAACTGGGAGAAGAGGATCACATCCTGGGCTAAGCCAAGTTATAATCTGATTTTTTAAATATGCCTTTTTGGTTTTTAGTGCTAGAATTTATTGAACAATTTAATACATTCAGATTCACTCATAGTTTTCTTCATTTTAGTGCCCTAATGATTGGAGTCTAATCTTGTTGCTCTTATTATAAAATAATGGAGAATTCCCTTGCTGATGTATCTAGGCCCCCTAGAAATGTTCTGCCCTTCCAAAATGCATCTGGTTTGTAGGGGTCTGCTTTATACAGATCATCTTAGTCTATGTATGTATTTAAAACATTTATATGGCCGCCCATCTTGTAGCAAACAACTCTGGGCGGTTAACAATGATAAAAACACAACAATAACACCAATACAAAAAGAAAAGAAAGGATCAAGAAAAACCAGGCACCCAGTCCATAACTATATCCATTCATCTCTTCAATCTCCAGGCTCTGACCTTACTGTCCCAGTGCCTGGGGGGAAAGCCAGCTCTTCACCAATTTACGGAAGGCTAGGAGGGTGGGGACCTACCAGTTCTCAAGGGGAAGGGTGCTTCTCAGGGCAGGGATTGCTACAGAAATGGCAACATTTAAGGGAAGGGGCCTGGAGCGTGCGCCCTTTATCTGATCTAATGGAATGGATTCAGGGAGAGGTGGTCCTGCTAATAACCTTGCCCAGTACCATGTAGGGCTGTAAAGGTGATAACCAGCACTTTGAATTGCACCTGGAAAGAAAAAGGGAGCCAATGTAGCTCATGCAGCAATGATGTAACATGGGGAAACTGAGAGGTGCCCAATACTGCACAAGCTGTCGCATTTTGGACCTGTTATAACTTCCGGTGGTCTTCAAGGGCAGCCCCATGAGGAGCATATTGCAGTAATCCAGCCGGGAAGTGACCAAGGCATGAGTGATGGTAAGCAAGATATATATGAGTGTATGAGATAAGCTTTGTGTGAATGTGTTGAATGCAACTTAACTCTCCTTTGCTGATTTCACAAAACTAACCCAGATCAGTCCTTGGATGGGAAGCCACTAAGAAACCTCAACTTTTGTGACCATCAAAGTGTGAAATAGCTAACAATTCACTGCTCATTCATGATGCCCCAGACTGGCTGACTGAGAGGTTTTCTCACTGCTAATGGTAGGCTTCCGGGCCATGCAGATCAAATGTGGCTAGAGTGCAATGATAAGAAGTACAGGCTGATCTCCATCCATTGGGTCAGCCTTTCCCATCACTGGCACCCCTAGTGTATTGGAACACAACCTAAGGTCCCAGGGTTCATCTGGTCCACCCACCCCACTGAGTGCCTTTCCCATGTAAAAAGATAAAAGGTTCTCAAATTCAGCTTGACTCCTGTTGACTACAGGTAGTCCCCAGTTTAAGAACGAGTTCTGTTCCTTAAGTCAAATTTGTACATAAGCTGGAACAGTATTATTGTATAATACTGTATAAGTAGTATTGTGTAATGAACTTGACCCATTGTGTATTTAACTTGAATCATTGTGTATTTAAATCGAATGTTGCTACAGTAGGCTCCATTCTTCACTATGGGTTATCTTTAAATCAGGCGTTCTTAACCCAGGGACTACCTGTACAAGGATATGAACTTTTCTTGGCAAAAATACGTAAGTGGTTGGTCGATGTCTTCTTCCAAAGTTTTTCTCCCCAAATATCCCAGTCTAGCTCACAATCCTGTGATTTCTTGGTGAGCTCCCATCCAAATTCTAACTACGTCTGATCCTACCAAAACTTTTCATGATCAGTCAAAATTGGTTAGGTACTACTTCTTGTAGCCAACTCCTCCCAAAGTTGTGGGCCAAATTATAATTTTTAATTGAAAGAAGGGGGAAATCATGAAATGCATGCAAAGTAATTTTATTACATACATTTAATTAATTGTTTATGCACATATTGCATTTTTCTCCCAAGGTTCCGCTTCTATCAAAATGTCTGCACTTACAGCTATTCCTACGTGTGGTGGAACTGGGACCGCTGGGAACAGGAGATTGACTGGATGGCACTCCATGGCATTAACATGGCACTGGCATTCACTGGGCAGGAAGCCATCTGGCAGCAGGTATGTGTTATTAAGCATGTTATTATGGCTGTAACAATATTTAAAACCAGAATCTTCTCCAGAGCAACTTTCATGCTGTACTACTGTTTTTTAGGTGTATTTGTCCCTGGGTCTAAACCAGTCAGAAATTGATGAGTACTTCGCTGGCCCTGCTTTCCTGGCTTGGAACCGGATGGGGAATCTGCACACTTGGGCAGGACCACTGCCCTTCTCCTGGCATCAGAAACAACTGAATTTGCAGGTAGCTAGGCCTGGCCAATACAAAAGCTGTAGCCCGGTCTCTGGCAGTAGGGTGCCCTCCGTCTTCCTGTTGTATTTACCTTCATGCCTTTTGTGCCAAGCTATACTAGGCAAATGTGGGGTTGGGCTTTTGTCAGTCCCGCTGAGTTTTAAAGCAGTGAAGGTGAGCTGAGGAATCTAACCCTATATTTTTTAGTCTGTGTTTCAGGAAAAGACTGGAGGAGACATTCATAGGGATGTAATGCAGGGGGAAATACAGAGGTGTATAGCATCTGGACTTTCTGAAAAGTAGCAGTACTCCATTTGTCTGGCAAGAACCTTTCCTTGTATTACTTTAAAAGACACAAGGACGTCTATACTTTACATTAATGACATTAAAATTAACAGTAATGTTATTATCTTGGTAAACTAATCATAACCAGACTCATAGTATGTGAAATGGTTTCATGAGCACTTTTGGTGCTTGTAACGTTACTCATGTTGCACCTTTATTTTTTCCTCCTCTGGGCTCAGATTGGCTTACATGGGGATGGGTTCTTGTACTGAATCATCAGAGTCATTGTAGAAGATAGTGGCTTGTCTGTGATCATCAGGCGGGCATCACAACTGGTCAAGAGTGTGTTCCCAGCCACTGTTCTAGCTTCATCAGCTGATTTAATAACTCAGGGTTATTTGCAATTTATTTCTCTTTTTTTGAGGATATTATGGGAGAGTTTATAATGAACTCCTGCACCCCCACACCACTGAAAACTCTGGAGGTGCAAAAGGGAAAAATTAAATAGTCTGTCTAGCTCCAGTTGTGGTCCAATATTGGCTCTGCACACCATGATTCTGAGTAAAACAGAATTTTATCAGAAAATTAAGTCATAGATCTCATATCATATTGGTCACAGAGTGCACAGCTTTTTCTAGAACATGTGCCTTCTTCTGGACCAGTTTTATGGGGGTAGCAGGGCTCTGTGTGGATTATTCTGTGGGCTTTGCTTCATTGCTCCATCCTGCCTCTTTTGCCTTCCCAGTACAGGATCCTAGAGAGAATGAGGTCTCTGGGTATGTTGACAGTGCTGCCTGCCTTCTCTGGGCATATCCCCCAAGGCATTTTAAGGTAAAGGTTGGCCATGCTTCACATATATCAGAAAAATGAGTTGGGTTGATGAGCGTATAAGAAGCTGTCTCATACCAGGATAGACTGTTTTCCATCTGCCCAGGCATTGTCTACATCCTTTTTCCTTAACATCTACTGGCCAGCTTTGTTGGATTAACAATTCCATCAGTCCCCAGCTAGTGTGGTTGTAATTGTAATTCAGCTGAAAGGCATACATTTGGAAAGACTGGCCTGTACTCACTGGCAGCAGCCCCCAAGGTTTTAAAAATGACTTTTCCTGGAAAGAGGATTCTTGAACTCGAGACTCTTTTGTATGGAAAGGATGTGCTTATCCACTAAGCAGTGGCCACAGTGGCCTTCCTCCAAGGGATGTGGGACAGGCTGGCCCAGAAAGTGAGGACCTAGACTATAGGATGTTGGACTTTTCGGGGGCAAGTGAAGTATTGAATGGAGTATTCATGTGAAAGCCAATGCTAGAATAAGAGTATTCCTGGGGGGGAAATTCAGAATGAGTTTAAGTAATAACTCTGAGAAATGTTTTGAGCCCGTGCAGCATATATTTTCTCTTACTGTTAACCAGACCTCTTGACATCTGGGTCCAAAGAACAGTGGAAAAGATACAACAGGGATATATGATTTTGAGCATATTTCTTGCTTTGAAATTACCAAACTTACTAATATTCTGGATTCCTGCCATCATGATCATTGGCATTCTCTTTGTCCTGAGTCTAAATCTTCCTGCAGAAACACATAGCACTTAGCACACAACGCAATGAATTTAGAGTTGGCTTTATAATCTGTTTCACAGTGTTTTTCCCATGTCATAGGGCTTTTCCACAGGTCAATGCCACACGGCTGGAGAGCTGGAGTCACTTTGATTGCACCTATTCATGTGCTTACCTCTTGTCGCCTGAAGATCCCATGTTTCAGGTCATAGGGACCCTCTTTCTAAAGGAGCTGATCAAAGAGTTTGGTACAGATCATGTATACAGTGCTGACACCTTCAATGAGATGCACCCACTTTCATCAAATACCACCTATCTCTCCAAGATCAGCGCAGCTGTCTTCCGCTCCATGACAGGAGGTACAATGTGACAGGGCCTCTTGTTCCTCCCTATTTCTCCTCTCTTTACCTCTGCTCATCTTTAGCCCATTTAGCCATGCATATTACAAGGATAATAGTAGAGCCTCTTCACAACATTTTAAATGGTGAATTAATATCTGTAAAGGCTGTGGAAATTCAGGTTTTTTTCTTAATAATGTACTAAAACATTTATAAACAATCTTTTCTTCTGTAAGAAGCTCACGGGCAGTTCACTGTAATAAGAAGAATCCCAGTCAATAAGAATAACATTAAACCAGTTACCAGCCAAGTTTGCAAATAAACTATTAAAAATCTGATGAAATAAGAAAAGTTTCCCTAAAAACTATCACCAAGAAGCTTACCAAGCTTCTTCCACTCCTGGGATGCTTCTATAAAGAAGGCCTATCTCACATTACCACCGGACATACTTCTCTTGGTGACTAATTGCAACATTTCTGTGATGGCCATGTAGGGTAAGATGGTCCTTTCTTTGCTGAACTGCAAAGAAAGATGTACATCATGTGAACATTTTTGCCCAGTGTTAGTTAGCTAGAGTTTGAGTCATATGAAAGGATTTGTGCTTATAAAGTGGGCATTATTCTGTTTCTTGTTGCCGAGAATTTAGTTAAAAGGACTCATGAACTTTGTAGCTTTTCTTTTGCTTTTCTTTAAATAATGTATATATACAATTGTTAGTTCTTTGTTACCATGCAATAGGATAGCTTCATATGTTCACATGTTGCTCAGATATATTATTCTGCATAATTTTGAGCTAGAAATGAAGCACAGCACCAAAACCATACCAACTCTGATCAATGGAATGATGCATTTACTTTTTTTTATATAATTAGATTTATGTCCTGTTCTTCTACCATGGAGTTCAGGACATTCATAGGATTTCATATTTTTATTCTTGTAATATCTCTGTGAGAAAGATTAAACCAAAAGATAGTGATTTGTCCAAGGCCATCCAGTTAGCTGATTGATTAGAGATTTCAACCAAGGCTTCATCTGCTGTAATCCATCCATTGTACCACACTAACTCTCATATTATGTTTACACACAATAGATTTACAGCCATAGGTTTTCAGGTTAAGATTAACGGTATGAATTATATTGCTGTGTTTGCTAGATCTGTAACAAAAAAATCAGAGCCAGAAAAGTATATTTCCAAGTTTTCTTCCAACAGAAATCCAGGGCAAACATATAAATAATTTTAGGTAAATAAATGAGAAGAAAACAGTATGTTAACAGTATTACAGATTTGTAAACAGAAAGAAACTGAATCTGTATTTTCTCAAGAAACAGATAGAGTATAGTATAGAAGTAACTGTCTGAAACTGTATTTTTTCCTTTATTTGAACTATACCTCTCTTCATAGCTGACCCCCATGCCATATGGCTGATGCAAGGTTGGCTTTTCCAACACCAGAGAGACTTCTGGCAACCTGCTCAAGTTAAAGCCCTCCTTCAAGGTGTACCTATAGGCAGGATGGTGGTGCTGGACCTCTTTGCTGAATCTAAGCCTGTCTACCTCTGGACTGAATCCTTCTATGGGCAGCCCTTCATTTGGTGCATGCTTCACAACTTTGGTGGGAACCATGGCCTTTTTGGCACAGTGGAGAGCATCAACCAGGGTCCTTTTGAAGCCAGACGTTTTCTCAACTCTACTATGATTGGCATTGGCCTCACCCCTGAAGGTATTGAACAAAATGATGTGATATATGAGCTCATGACAGATTTAGGTTGGCTCGAGGAGCCAGTAAATCTACAACAGTGGGTTGCTACATACACTACAGAGCGCTACGGTGTCAAAAACATGCAAATAATAAAGGCCTGGCAGCTGCTTTTCCAGAGTGTCTACAATTGTTCAGGGCCTTGTGTAAATCACAACCACAGCCCCCTTGTTCGCCGTCCTTCTTTTCGGATGAACACAGAGCTCTGGTACAACAAGAGTGATGTCTATGAAGCCTGGCAGCTGTTTCAAAATTCTTCTGGTGAACTTGGCAACAGCAGCACCTTCTGCTATGACCTGGTGGATGTGGTACGTCAGGCTCTGCAACAGCTAGTGAGTGATTACTACTTGGAAATCAAACAGGCTTTTCAGAGACGTGTGCTATCACAACTCCTGATAACTGGTGGTGTTCTGATCTATGACCTTCTTCCAGAACTAGACAGTCTCCTCTCCAGTGATAGGCATTTTCTGCTGGGGAGCTGGCTGGAGGCTGCCCACAAAATAGCCACCAGCAAAAAGGAGGAACAGTTGTATGACTTCAATGCACGCAACCAGCTGACTCTTTGGGGACCTGATGGCAACATTTTGGACTATGCCAACAAACAGCTTGGAGGGCTGATGCTGGACTATTATAGAACGCGTTGGAACCTTTTCATTATCACCTTGGTGAAATGCCTCAATTCTGGAACACCTTTTCACCAGGATCAATTTAACCAAGCTGTCATCAAAGTAGAAAGGGGATTTATCTACAATGGAAAACAGTATCCAACAAAGGCTACTGGCAACACGCTAGAGATAGCTACAAAGATATTTCTCAAATATTACCCCTCTGCTATGAAGTATAGTCACTTGATGGCAGTATGATGGAGACATGCTATTCTCAGTATAACTCTTTGGGTCATCGATTCCAGCTTTGTACTAATCTTGTGTTGGTTTTCTGAGAAAACTGATTTTTTAATATAGGTTCCAATGTTCAAGTAGAACTAGAACTATATGGGAGAAAAGACTAGTGTTCAGCTGTCAGAAAAAGAGATACATCAGGCTGTGCACAAAATGAGTGCTATTGGCTTGGATAGATGATCCCAAGACCTTCTTGTTTGGCTCCTCCTTAAGACAACCTATATCCCTACTTAGCCATCTTTCTCCCTATAGATCATTCTATGCAACTACGACCAGTGTGGTTTTGCTCCTCTGAAAACTTGTGTATAGAGGAAATCGCTCATGATTCTGCAAGACCTCTATAAGCAAAGCCATACTGTATTAGTTTTGTGTGAAAAGTCAGACTGGGGTAATGAAGGGTCCTGGAACTAAAAAACTATAGAGATATATTTTCCTGTGCCCCTTATGGCTATAATTATGAAAGAGAAGATGCACACTGATTCCAGTGCTTGCTGAGACTTCCAGTGCTTCTAGGATGCTCTTCCAATAGCTTGGAGTGTGGAGGGAAGGTAATGTTGCCATTCTAGAATCATGGAGCTGGCTTATAGAGGGTTTTGGGATGAACCAATGTTGCTTCTTCATGGACTTGGAAATACTTTAGGGAGAGTACCCAAACTGTCCCCACTAGTTGCCTTCCAGATGTGTAGGTCCACAATTCCCATTATCCTCTCATTATGGAGCATGTGATAATATTTATATGGTCTAACTGATCAGTTGGGAAAGACTGACTCATCTAGTTAAGACAATTTCCCCAAACCTCTTCTGAGTTCTTAGTCCATGTGTTTTGTTATTTTCCTGCCTGTCATAATCTTCCACAGTTCTTACTCTTCCTGAGTGACAGTTATATTTACACCCACACAGATACATATATATCATAAAGTCTAATCTCTGTAATGATTTCTGGGTTTCATTACTGTACAGATGTGCCCTCTTGTGGTCAGAGAGGGGCAAAATGAAGACTTGGTGTACTGTACTTCAAAGGATATGTAGTAAGGCTGTCCTAACCCTTCTGTTTAAAGGCAAAAAGATGCTTTAGAGCACTACGTCTTTTCCTGTAATCACTTGGCTGCCCTTTTCAGCTGCAGCACAATCTCAGGAAAATAAATGTTTGGCTTAAGGAGCTGCAGATACATACTGATACATCTCAAAGCACCTTTCTGGCTTCAAATCCAAACTGCTGTTCACACACTTTTTACAAGGCTTGTGGGCCTGCTTCAGATCTATTCCTGGCTCTCTCCAGTATTCAGCCACTACATTTAGTGTACTGTTTCTTATGGCTTAATATGCTGTGCAGATTCAGCTAACTCTGGTTTATTTAAAAAATTGTTAAACAATTGATACCTTAGTGCAAGTGTGAACCAGGTCACTGTTTCCCACATCAATTCTAGAATGGTTACCTAAAGTGGGTCTGAAGGAAGATAAGCATATGCCTCACATCCCCGTTGTGTTTAATTTTCCCACATGTGGATATTTTTTCTTGGTTTCTGTTGGGAGCTGGGTAAAAGGAGTTCAATCCAAAGAAATTCTTGAAAGGAAAATGTATTCCCTCAGATACTGAGATAAGTATTTAAAACAAGGACAATTTTTTTTTTTTTTTTTTGCCAAGATAGAATTGAACCAGTTGTGCTATAAGAATTAAAACACATTGCTTAAGTTCTAATCCAACTGAATCTATATGTTGCAGAGATGTAGGATTTCAAAAAATTCAAGAATCTATGTGGGAAAATGCTAACATATATTAGGAATATATTTGGCATACATTAAATAGGCATAATCAGTCTCTTAATCTGAGCAATTACAGTTGTTAACTTCTAATGGAAGCAAGACTTGGAGAAGGGCTATAGCTTGGTCATAAAGCATATACTTCTCATGCTAGAATTCTCATGTTTAATCCCTGGTATTTCAGGTCTGGATTTGTCAGAAATCCTGAAGAGCAGTAGTCACTGTAGAAAACACATGGTTTAATGATCTGTTTGAATAGGCAATTTCCTACGTAACTAAGACTTTGTAATTTAGGCTATTCCCTCAGCTTTTTGAAATTGGTTCTTGGATAAGCACTGTTTCCTATCTTCCTGCATAAACTGCCAGGTTGGCTTCAATAATATAGAAGCCAGCTCCAAGCCAACTCTGGGACAGATTGGTACTAGTGCCTGTGTTTTATTTTGTTTAGATATTTTATCCCATCTTCATTATTATTTATAAATAACTCAAGGTGGCAACATACCTAATACTCCTTCCTCCTCCTATTTTCCCCACAACAACTGCCCTGTGAGGTGAGCTGGGCTGAGAGAGAGTGACTGGCCCAAAGTCACCCAGCTGGCTTTCATGCCTCAGGCAGGACTAGAACTCACAGTCTCCTGCTTTCTAGCCTGGTGCCTGAACCACTAACCAAACTGGTTCTCTAAAGCTTAAAAAAAATTTTTTTTTAATTAAAGTTTTAAAATTTAAAAATTTGCTAAGAAACTTCCAAAGACATGTGCAGGCTTGCTTGTGAGAGGCTCTCAAGTTGTTTGAATTATGAGGCAAAGCTGGAGATAAATCCTTCTCATACAGGTACTGTAATAAAGTACCCATAATATCTAGCTCTGGGTAGAAACTAAAGGACAAGATGCAAAAAGCCACAGCATCAATACCTTCCAGCAAATATATGGGGTAAGGAGCACACTATGTTCTTCTGAATGTAGAAGTGATGATAAATACCGTTTCTTTCTGAAGGCTGGGGAGTGACCCAAGAATTCCAAACAACTAGTTACTGATTATTTTTAATCATTTTTGTTTTGCATTTGATTGTATTTATTTTATTGCTTGTTACCTTGAGTGTCTTGTGAGATGGATAACAAGGAATACCTCTAATAAATAAAAAAAAGTTGTTTCAAATATAAGGAATGAAGATCTTTGGACTAAGAATAGTTCCTTCTGGGGACTGCAGATACCAAGAAAGGAGGATAGTAAATAAGAGGAACTTTTTCTCCACTAAGATAGCTATAGATCTTTGAGGCAGAAGGTAATCTAGGAAGGATAGGATTTGGTCTGTCCTTCTATCCACTATTTCAAAATGACCCCTAGGATAACTAATTGTCACCTAGGTTTAATCCATTAAAAGATCAGATAAAATCCAGTGGTCTAAAGCATACATGTAAGCTGTGTAAACTGTTGAATCTGTCTGTCTGTCTCTGATCAGCAGAAGCCAATTCTGAGCATAAAAGTCCGAGAAGACCACTGACAAGTTAAAAAGGAGAAAAAGGAAGACAAAGGATCTGTCTGTCTATCTATCTGATCTCACTCTTTTCAGTTTTGACAAGAAACAGTACAGGTAGATAGGTTTACCAATAGAAGAAAATATCTGTAACTCAGGGTTGAACTGTGGAATCCTTGGTGTTCTCTGAGCTTGGTTATTTTCTTGTAGACATTTCATTACCCAATTAGGTAACATCTTTCATTACCCGACTAGGTGAAGATGTTACCTAGCTGGGTAATGAAACGTCTGCAAGAAAACAACCAAGCTCAGAGAACACCAAGGACTCCACAGATAGATTTACATTAAACATTAGGAAGAGCTCAAAGAGCAGTTATGCACTGCCCAGGCAGACTGTAGAATCTCAATTCTTTCAATGAGCCAATAGATATTTACTACGGATTAATCAGATCCTTCATCCACATACAATATTCTTGGATATTTAAATACTTTTTCTGACACTCTAAAAAAGCACATGTAGCTTCAGTGGGAACTAGAAATTGAAAATGACAGCATATGTTCAGAAGTTGCTTCTATGACCACCACATATGATAAAATGTATTTATTTAAAGATTTATAAGGCTGCTCAACTCAGTGCAACTCTGGGCAGCATACAGCATAAACACACAATAAATAAGAAAAAACAAAACCATGTAACAACAGACAATATATGTATTTTTAAATATAAATGTAAAATGGCAACCAATCATACAGCAAAACATCCATGGGGGGGGGCTCCCACTCAACTGGCCCCCAATCCCTGGGGGAAGATCCAGGTCTTAATGGCTTTCCTAAAGATGAGAAGAGTTGGGGCCCATTGTCTATCAGAGGCAGATTATTCCAGAAAGCAGGGGCAACACAGAAAAGGCATGTTTCCTAGGTCCCATAAGATGACAGGTTTTAAAAGAAGGAACCTTGAAGGTGCCATCTCTGTGGGAGTGTGTGGGGTGGGCAAATATTCTTGGGAGAAGGTGATCCCTCAAGTAACCTGGTGCTATGGCATGTAGGGCTTTAAAGGTAACCCAGCACCTTGCATCGCACCTGGAAGCCTATCGGGAACCAATGCAGCTTGTGGAGTAGTGGTGTTATGTGAGCATAATGAGATGTGCCCATAACTACCTGCTCTGCTGCATTCTGGACCAATTGAAGCTTCCAGATGATTTTCCAAGACAGCTCCATATAAAGCGCACTACAATAGTCCAATCGGAAGGTGACCAAGGTGTGAGTGATCATGAACAGGGCCTTCTGGTCCAGGAAAGGGCGCAACTGGCATTCAAGACACAGTCATGCAAAGGCTCCCTGGGCTATGGCTGCCACCTGCTCTTAAGTAGGAGCTGTGAGTCCAGGAGAACCCACAGATTGCTCACCAAGTCTGAATGAGGTACTGCCAACCCATCCAGAACCAAAGATGGAAATTTTGCAACTACCAGATCTGGAGTACCCCAAATCCATAGTCATTTAGTCTTAGCAGGGATGAACTATAACCTGTTCTTCCAGACCCTCACAGCCTCCAGACATTGGGAAAACCTTGACAGCTTCACTTGGATGGCCAGGAACAAAGATGTATAGCTGGGTATCACTGGCATATTGATGATACCTCACCTGAACCGGCAGATGACCTTTCCCAGTGGCTTCATATAGATATTAAAAAGGAGGGGGGAAGAGGGCAGAGCCCTGAGGCACCCCGCAAAGTAGGGACCTATGGCTTGACTGCTCCCCTCCCACCAACACTGGCTGAAACCAGCCTTGGAGGAAGGAGAACCACCACACAATGGTTCCCCCACTCTTAGATGGTCCAGAAGGATACCATGGTTGATGGTATTGAAAGCTGCTGAGAGATCAAGAAGAGCTGGGATGGACACACCACCCCTATCCCGAGCTTGCCACAAGTAATTGACAAGCGCAACCAAAGCCTTCTCCATACTGTTCCTTCTGTACCACATTTCCAACATTTATTGAAATATGACTGACTGATTTTTGCAGTTGTGGGCAGAGTTATGTAAATTATCATTTTGAATGGTAATTTTTAGTTTATCTTTTTTTAATTTATTCAGCCAAAATATTATGTCTTCTGGCTAATCCTCCAAACACCTCTGCCTGATTTTTTGATATATTCTGCCAACAAGTTGCTGCTATAGAAACTAGATCATTTTTTCACAAGTACCTTTACTTTGTTTTGAATACTATCCAAGCTCAATTCATTTGAGACTAATTTAAAAGCTTCTATGCAACACGTATTTAAAATACTAATATACTGATACATTTAAAAGCCTGGGAGAATTTAAAAAGGGTCCTTGCCTGGCACCAGGAAAACGGAAAAGTAGGCATGAGGCATGCCTCACTGATGAAGGTATTCCAGAGCTGCGGCAGTGTCAGTAAGAAAACCTGCTCCTGAGTAACCATTTGCCATCCCTTGGGATGGAAAGATACCTGAAGCAGGGTCTCTAAGGTCACCCTTAGGGCACGGAAAGGCATACAGGAAGAGGCCTTCCTTCAAATATTATGATCCCTCACCAGGACAGGCTTTGTACGTTAACAACACGGATGGGAACTGAAAATGGACTCAACATTTTGGCATTCTCTGGACGAACCCACAGGGTCCAAGCACAAGCACCGCACTCTTCCTCCTTCTTTCATCATCGCCTTCATCAGTATGAAGCAAAAGGATCCACGTTATTTATTTATTTTTAAGATAAAAGTTCCAAGTATTTCCCTTCTAGTCAGGACGAATCACTTCCGGTTTGCGCCGAGACACTTCCGGGTCAGGTGTTGGCTCAGCTGAAGTTGCCTGACAGGTGGGTGAGCGAGCGATGCCCTTCCTTTCCCTTGTCGGGGTACCGCTTGGAGGGCGGAGGAGGGGCCGTAGGGATGCGGGGCAGCGGGGGAGGCCTCGCTGACGGGAGGAGAGCTGTCACTTCGCGTGTTCTTCTCCGGCGACGGAGCCTGGGTTAACTGACAGATTGCCGCTGGTTTTACCGTATTACGAAATTTCCAGCAAATGAGCAAAGACAGATTATTCTCCTACCTCTCCTTCCCCGATTCAGCCTGAAGCTTTTTGTTATAGTTTTTTAAGAAAAGACAAGCAGGAAATGTAGTTGATCAAAATGCAGACGTCGGAAATAACAAGAGCTGTGGTGGTACGACTGGAGAAAATATGGAGGCTAAAGGAATCTATGGATAGGCAACCTGCGTGCTGTAATCACACCACCGGACTGGGGATTCCTGTATGTTTGGCTTATAGCTTCAGATTGCCAAGCTAATTTTGGATGATGACTGGAACAACGGTGGTTCAAATCTCCATTCTCCTGTATTGTACAATCTTTTGAGTAATCTGTGGTCAACTGCTCTTTCTGAGCCTAAGGTGCAACATATCCTTCATGTGAGAGAAAATCAGTAAGAAGGAAAGTTTGTTTAGGACTTCTTAAAAGGCAGGTCAAAATAGTAATAAATATAGAGATATAATTTTAAAAATATATGAAGTAATTCCTATGCAATATGAACTTTATTACTAGCAGTATGTATTGTTTGCTTTGGAAATCCAAAGCAGATTTAGCTATCTTTAAATATGTCTAGAACCTACTTTGTTAGGAGAGACACAAATATACATATATATTCAGAAATAAATGCCACTGCATTCATGGCATAGGATTGCAGTCTAGTAGCCTATCCCTGGTCATGTCTACTCAGAAGTCAGGGCCAGAGAACATTAGCTATATTAATGAGGAATGTCCCACTTTACATCTAAATATTTTATTTTCAATAGCCAGTTCTTTTGATATCTATACTGTAACAATATAATGTTTTAAGTTTTGTGCACAATCACATGAAAGGAAGTATCAAGGAGGTGAGCTATTGAGCTAGAAAAACATTTATCTAAAAGTTTTACATAAATGAAAATATGATGGATTTTATTTCCAGAGAAATAAACATTGGGTTGATTGTACATAAATCCTGAGGAAAAACTCTTTTTTTTGGTAAGGCAGTTAAAAATAAATATGCTATGTAGTCAACATGTTAGTGCGACACTGTTACTGACATTTATCTTTTAGAGGTGGAAGGTTTGGGGGCACTGGAAAGATAAGAAGTAATTACTTTATAATTCCTACTGCTATCTTCTTCATCATTCTCCATATAGCCCACTAAGAGTTAACATACATAGGAAGATATAAAGAAATGCTGCCTATTACTCGTTTGTAGATGCTTAATTGCATGTTAACTAATGTCAATTAGAAGTTAAAAATAAGCAAAACGAAAAAGGAAGACATTACATTTCCTTGTAGATAGGCAGAGATAATGTTTATGCACACTTTCTCTGTTGTTACACTTTGTCCAGCAAGTTCAGACATATTGTAGTTTCACACCAATCTCATGAAGAAGATTAGACTGCAACATAATGACTCGTCTAATGCTAGTGTGCAGTACAGCCAAATAATGATTTTAAATAGGAATTTCCTACTTTCCACCAAAGGGACATTTTTCTGGAGCTTACAATAGGTTTGTCATTTTAAACTAAGTGCTAATTACATGAAATCTTTGGTCATTATTTTTCTATAGGTAAAAGCTACTTTGACTTATTTTGGTTTCTCTTCTTTTTTGCACATATCCTTCTGTATGTTCCTCCTGGACAGCATGTCGGTCTTCCGATCTGGTTTACTTGTTCTGACGTCCCCACTGTCAGCACTTTCTCTGCGCTTGATGCCCATTCTTGCCTCAGCTGCCCGGCTGGTACAAGATACCCTCTATATTCACCTGCAGCCAGGACTCAGCTTGACAGGTTCTACACAGCCCCGTTCCACTTACGTTCCTGCCACATCGGAAGTACACAACCTTATCAGCAAATTGTACACCGATGCTGACGTTCATCGTCACCTTGATGTCCGGATACTGCTCACCAACATCCTCAACCAAGGAGCTACCCCTCCAGTGCTAGGATCTGTACAGAACCTTTCCCAGCCACCTGAGGTGGTGCTCACTGACTTCGAAACTGGAGATGGAGGGCAATCAAATCCAGTCAAGCAGCGTCTAGAACGTTACGCCACCAGTTGTTACAGCTGTCGCCCTAACCTAATATCTGTTTTACTGTATCCTGACTATGAGTTACAAGCTGGTGATGGGGAACTGTCCCCACAACACGAGATTGAGATAACAAATGAGCCATTGCAAAGTTACACTGATGTAGTTGTGGGGGGCACTTTTGATAGACTTCACAATGGTCACAAGATCCTTCTGAGCATGAGCTGTATGCTGGCAGAAAATCGGCTTCTCATTGGGGTCTCTGACAAAGATCTCCTGGAAAGTGGGTCTCTTTGAACCATGTATGCCTTTCTCTTGCAAAGCCACTTAGAGAAATTAGAAATGCTTGGGGAAATTTTAAAATATTCCAGATTTTTTGTACAAAATGATTCAGTGCTATGACTGGAATCAGGACTGAAAATCTAGAGGAGAAGAAGATAAGCTTGTTGTTGCTTAGAAATTTGATGCTGGTATTTAGAAATTCATATAATTTTCTGTTTTTTTTACTGGAACTATTATTTATTAGCTAAGTACATTTGCAGAACTTAAAAAGATTTCAGATATACATTAAATGTTTACATTGTAGGAGGAGAGCCATGTTAACTGATGGTAGCCAAAAATCAGAAAGAGTTGTAGCAATTGTTCAAAGTAACAAACTGTATTAAAAGGCATAAGCTTTTGTGAGCTACAGCTCACTTCAGCTCCTTTGCATGAAGTGAGCTGTAGTTCATGAAAGCTTATGTCTTTTAATCAAATGTTTAGGAATTAGTATGTAATAGGATGGGAAAAAATCATTACATTCTCTTTTAAGATTTCCAGTATTAAATTCCCTGGTTCAGTCCCCCAAGTCATCAGATACAGTGAAAAATCCTCATGCCTGAAACCCTGGAGAGTTTGTCAGTGTTGACAGTTCTGACTTAGATGAACTGTTTATTTAACTTAGTAGAAGATCTATGTATTCCTATGCAGCCCAATGTAGATTCATTTGGGTTAAATAGTTTAAGATTGCTCCTTTTAATTCAGGATCTGGAATATAAACAGGGAGAATGGGGGTTTTGAGCCACAGGACAATTGATAATTAGTTACTGAACTGGATTGTAAAAGCCCTGAAAAATGCTATTGAGTATCAAATATGTAGCCTGAGGCTCCACCACTTCTATAGCAGATTGGCATCCCTGTCTAGCACAGTCAAAATAGCATTTCAGCTGAATACTATTCTAAGAATCTATTGAATTTCTTCCAAATATTTCCAGATATCATCACCTCATAGGTGCTGGTAATTTTGCTTCTGCTTACCCTAGCATCTCTTTGCCACCCTCTCATAATTTTGATGGATTTACTGTTCCAGAACCTGAGAACCATACTTTTGACCACTAAAAATAATTCAGTAATCCTGCCTTGCATTTATACAGAAGGCTCAGTTATTTGGTATCCAACCAAATACGGCACATGTCTCCTTAAATCTATGGCTATGATTTTAAAATAACTCTAGCCTTTCTTGAGGAAGCGGGGGAGCGGGATCTGGTGATTGTTTTGTAGGGGTACAGATGTTGATCATTCCTTGCTCAGAAGCTGCAAGTTTGGTTTGATTTAATGTGAGAGGAATAGCAAGCATATCTGAATTAAGGTTTGGGGGCAGAGTAGGAAAATAGTACAGAAACCAGGGAAGAATTGTTCTCCCATCCTCCTACTACAGAAAGCAAAGTCTGCACGGCCTGAAAAAATTACTGAGGGGGAAGACAGGGATTGGAGGCAATTGTGCCCCCAAGAATCAGCCATTTGCTGCCAAATTTCAAATGTGAAATCTTGGGTGTTTGGGGTGGGGGTGGGGGAGCAAATAAAATTCTGGAAAGTGCATGTAGATTGGAGTTTGCCACTGCTGTTCTAGAGCAGTCTTATCTGTTCTGGTTGATAGAAGTTCTATGGGGGTCAAGCAGAGAAATTGTTGATATTGCCTCTTATCCTTTTTTTAAAAAACTGCAATGCATGCAGAGCATGGGCTCTTTTCTCAAGCTGTGAAAATCCTCAGCAAGATGCTCTTTCAGTCCCCTTTCTCACCCAGGAAAAAGCAGGATATTACCCCAAATGCCTGTTCTTTGGTTCTTACTTGTTTTCCCTTGTACTATGCTCATGACATGAACTACAGAAGCAACAGCCAAAGACTGTAATTGGGAACATCAGTAAGCTCATGTAGCCTATCCTAGGTGTATCTGTTCAGAGGAGGAGTCCGTTGAATTCAATGGGCTCCCAGGTGTATAGCTGATTTCAGTCGTAGACTTCTTTGTAATCTTCAGAGATGTCTACGGTACTCTGGCTTGAAAATTCTTGGGAAATGAGTCCAGGACACATTTTTAGATACCAGATCTCCAGAGGGTTTTTTAAAATATTAAAATGTCTAGCAGCCAGGTTTTTTCCTGCCTTCAGATATTACTTTGGGTTGAATTCCTGCTGTGTAGAGAAGCAAATATGAAAGGTTTTACCAGAATTGAAATATGCTGTTCACCTTTATGGTAGGCAGTTTGCCTTGTTTATTAAGTGTGATAGCTTTTGTCTGCCGATAAAATCTAAGTTTGTTATTGGCAGCTAATTTAAATGGATCTGTCTTTGTAATGGAGTATTTTGAGGAGCTAATGAGTATGGTTGAGATGAATTAAGCCTTCAGCAGCTTTTTATCAAAGATAAAACAACTGATTTTTTTCCACCCTTGGGTAACATACTGTTACTCTTCTTTCCATCCCATCGTGCCTGGAAAATGGATTTATTAGGATGCAAGGAAGAGAAGGAATGTATATACATACCCATCATGCTTTTCCTTTTTGGAGTAAGCAATATTATACAAAACGTAGAAAAGGAATAAGAAATAGTAAGCCAAGTAATTAAAGGCATATGCAGCTAAATGTGGGGGCACTGCATAGGCACTGCAAATGTGGGGGCAATGCATAGGCACTGCAGCTAAATGTGGTTTACATCAACATCATTTACTACACTGGTCTTATCCATAGTTTTTTATCCTTGCACCTATCCTTGCTTCCACCATAACCATATACCACCTCATATACTGCCTTTTGTTCTTTAAGGAAAATGTATAGGAAATTATTACTGACCCTGAGCATCTGTGATAAGATGAATGCTAAATTCAGTACGTAAATGTCAGTTAGCCTTGATTTGCGCTTTGATAGATTGGGAGGCCAGTGATAAGGCAACTATGCTCGTCACAAACTCTTTCAGTGAGAATTTTATCTGCAGTATCTGTTGCTTTTTCTCAATATGGCTTTCTCTTAATTCCAAACTAAGGAAATTACATCTTTGCAGCACTATGAACTTTTCCCCTTAACATTCGATTGGGGCATCATCTCAGGAGTCTGGGAGCATTTGAAGGATGGTCTGTGCTTCCTAAAAAGTCACATTTTCCTCTCATTTTCTTCATCAACAGATAAGGTATTAAAGGAGCTGATCCTACCCTTTGAGCAACGTGTGGCTCAACTTAACGAGTTCCTAGTAGACATCAAGCCTTCCCTGCAATATGACATTGTTCCTCTATTTGATCCCTTTGGCCCATCAATCACTGATGCTGATCTGAAGTGCATTGTAGTCAGTGAGGAGACAGTCAAGGGTGGTCTTTCTGTCAACAAGAGGAGGGCAGAAAATGTAAGTATGCTGTGAATCTTTTTGCTGCTGATAGGTCCAAAGTAGCTGAAAGACCATCTTCCATCTAGGATCTGCCAGAACTTTAAGGTCTTCAGAAATGTAGTTCTTCCTCAGTCCCACCATCATCAGAAGTAGATGGGCACTGCCCCCAGATTCTGGAACTTTCTGCAAAGGGAGAAGAGCCTGTGTTGTTCTGCTTGCAGGGAAAAATGTTTTGTTTAGACAGAATTTTGACATCTAAATAGAGTTTGGCTCCTGTGTTGAGAGATCCCAGGATTCTATTCTGTTTCAATAGAGTTTCAATTATATAATACAGTAAGCCCTCACTTTTGCTTAGTTCACAGTTGTTTCATTTGGACTCCACTCCTTAATGGACTAGTATGTGCTAAATAGAGGGTTTGTGGGCTGAATAAAAGATTTGTTGAAGTTTTACTGCAAATAATGCCATAATTACGCAAATTGATGCAAGTGACGTATATTCAGATTTAACAAACACCATCACTTTAATGGTTTGTTTTGATTGTTACTCTGAGGTCATTCACTGGCAGAAAAGCCAGGAATTGTAAGGGGGTATATTGCTTCCTCAAACAGCTTGGAGGGATTGCTTTGCTTGGACCTTTGTGGAAGCAAAGCACCATGCAAAAATTTGCATGGTCCCATTGCTTACTGTCATATTTAGAATTACTGTCATGCAGTTAGTCCTCAACTTACAACCACAACTGAGACTGGAACTTCCATCGCTAAATGATGTGGTCATTAAATGTGTGACACACGATTTTATGATGTTTTTGCTGCAGTTAAGCAAATCGCTGTGGTCGTTAAGCGAATCCGGCTTCCCCCATTGATTTTGCTTGTCAGAAGCTGGCTGGGAAGGTCACAGATGGTGATCATGTGACCCTGGGGTGCTGCAACCATCATAAATACATGTCGGTTGCCAAGCGCCCAAATTTTGATCACATGACTGCAGGGATGCTGTGATGGTCATAAGTGCAAGGACAGGTCATCACTTTTTCCAGCACCGTTGTAACTTTCTCAGAACAAAACAGGTAGAGAAAAAGACTTCTTGTCATCTTCCTTCAGTATACAGCATGGCTCACTTCCACCTACCCACCTGCAAAAAAACCAATCAAGACCTCTTCTCCATGCTTTTGTGAATATAGGTGACACTCTCAATCCTTATATTTAACAAAGGGCATAAGAGTAATCTCTGTCCCTACTGGAATCATCCATAGACCACTCTTTTATTAATTGTTTAAAATCCACCAGTTCAAGCAACCACTGTGGCAGCTAGTTCTATGGCTCAGTGGCCTTTCCCTTAGGGTTGCATAGCAAAGATTAATTAAAAAGATTGCAAGTATTTGAGATGCTTTTATTAAGCGTGTTCATTAGATAAACATAAACATGTTTATTTATATTTATGAGATGCTTTTATTAAACATGCCTTCTTGTCTTATATTCCTTAAACATGGAACATAAGCCAATTCACTGATGTATTTCACTTCCATACCAGGGCAGAGAAGCTGGTACTCAGTCACCGGAGAATGCTAGAGTGATACACAAAGGCTGCCCTAGGACTGGGGAGGCCAGTTAAGAAGCCATAGAGCTTAAGTGACCCTGGATCTGTCATTTACACTCAGCCTGCACTTACAAGGTGGTTGAAATGATAAATGGAGAGAAATGTATATGCTGCCTTAGCTCATTGGAGAAAAGATAGAGTATAAATGTAGTAACAGCATATTAAAATTGATGCTTTTTACATCATTTCAGAGCCTGTTATCTAAATGACATCTCCACATTTTTGGCTGTGCTAGTCACCAGAGGGTTAAATAACAATCTGCAACAATTTGGACTAAATGACATTAAGTTCAGGTGTAAAGGGGAAATGGATTTTAGTGTCAGAATAATGGGTGTTGGTTGCCAGACTGTGTGGTGTAGTGTGGAAAGGCAAGTGGTCTCTTTCCTAACACATGTTGTCTTACAGAACCTGGCTGAACTGGCTCTCCACAAAATCAGTCTGGCTGTTGACCCTCAGCATGCCAGGAATGAGGAAGAAAAAATCAGCTCTTCTAGCCTGAGGTACAGACTTCTTGGAACTTTGTTGTGTGCTCCTCGGGTGAGTAATATTTGTTTTAGCTTCTGAGTTGCATGGGAGGGTGAGTTGCAATTCTGTATTTGTTTACTTGGTAGTAAGGCCCTTTTTGTTGAATGAGTCCTATTCCTAGATAAGTATGGACAGGATTGCCATCTTAGTTGCTGGATTAGCCAGGAGAGGGAAGATGAGTCATAGATTAAGAAACAAAATACCTGTTGCATATATTGGCCTTAATTATTGCTAGCTGCCCTGAATGGGGCAGAAACCACATTTTAAAAATAAATACCCATTTTTCAAACCATTTTGTGTATGGAAAAAGATTGGAGTAGGTTAATGGCCCCATCCCAGTGTCCTCCTTTGTGCTCCAGCCCAGTTACTATTTCTTCCTGTTTCTTTTTCTCTCAATTTCTTCTCTCACTCCTTTTTTGTACTATCTGAAAGACTTTGAAAGAACAGTGTGGCAGAGCCCCTTGTAGACAGAGAGGTGCGGAGCTGACCAGTAAGTAACAGAAAGCAAACACTGGACTCTCCAAAGATGTAGAAAACTTGCTGTAGTTTATTCTCCCCAGAACCTTAAGCATTCAGGGTCAGGGGGTACCAACAAAAAAAGATTCTTTGAAGTGTCAGTAGAACCAAGAAGTCAAAGTAATTTCTCAAAATATAATATCAAACCAAGGAAGTAAATGGGTCTGGCAGCAGCAGTTTGAGGCTTGTTCTCCTCTTCTTACACCAGCAGTCTCAATGTGCCTTCCAGTCTCCACTGTGAGCATTCAGATAATCCTCAACTTAAGACTACAATAGGGACCGGAAAATTAGTCATTAAATGGTGTGGTTGTTAAGTGAGGCATCATGTGCCTGCACCCAATTTTATGATCTTTTTGCCATGGTCATTAAGGAAGACATCACATGGCCACAACTTAGGAACTTCCCTGCCAGCTTCCTGATTAACTTTGCTTGTCAGAAGCCAGCTGGGAAGGTCACAAATGGCGATCACGTGACCGCAGGACGCTGCAACCATCGTAAATACACAATGGTTGCCAAGCACCTGAATCGTGTTTATATGACCACGGGGACGCTGTAATGGTTGTAAGTGCGAGGACTGGTCATAACTCACTTTTTTCAGCACCATCGTAACTTTGAATGTTTGCTAAATAAATGGTCATAAGTCGAGGACTACCTGTATAGGCAATTCCTTACTTGAGACATCTCTGACCCCTTCTTTTCTTCTAAATAAGACTTTCCAGTATGAAGAACCAGCTCTATTCTGTACCTGGAAAATTAGCTGAGTCCAAGCCAGGCAGCATAGAGAGGTGGGGGAGTCTGATAAGGATAATTCTAGCAGGTACTTCCACCTCAGGCTATTCTTTGTCTTCCTCTGGTATCTGCCATCTCCCTTCACCACCTTCTCCACACACACACACGCTTTCTTCAGAGCAGCCTTTATGGTCTGCAGGCACTTAAAATCAGGAGCTGCAGCTTATTCATGAGGAGGCTGGTGTTTTTCCTTCACCACAAACTGGAGGGAGGAAAAGGATGTTTACAGAGTATGCAATGATAGTCATTGTGGTACTCAAGAAAGAAGAGACCATGGGAGAAAAGTCCAAGCTCTCTGAATGGAGAGCACACTCCCCAAGGAACAGTGTGCAGGACTGTGAGTGTAGCTCTACATAAACATAACAGAGCTGTACGCAGTGGATGTTCGTTCAGTAAAACAGTGGTGCTATGAAAAGAACCTGTGGGAAAATGGTAGTTATGGTGCTTCTGCAATGTTGAACAACAACAATAAAAGTGAAAATGAATGTACGCTATTGGGACTGTTCCCTCAAAATCAGTCTCTCTCTCTTCTCTTCAGAAAGATCCATCACTTCCTTCCTCCCCCTACATTATTGGGCTGACAGGTGGATCTGGTAGTGGCAAGAGTTCTGTTGCCCAGCATTTGCTTCACCTTGGTGCCTTCCATTTGGATATGGACAGTCTGGGACACACCATTTACACACCAGGTGGTCCTGTATATGAGCAGGTGATAGAAGCATTTGGACCAGGTATGATTGGCCTCTGGGGAAGCCATATTTAAACTCAGTTCACCCAGTAAGCTGCAAGGGGAGGGATAGCAAGTGTTTTGCCTCAAAAGTCTGTTTTTTCTTCTCTCTCTTCTCTTATCCTCAGCCAAACTGCTTTTATTACTTAAAGCCATGTATTTTTCCCCCTTTCCAAATTTATTTTCCCTGTTTTCTTGCCAAAATTTCATTGTTCGTCAACATTCTACTGGTGACAGTTTACTCTGAGCAGATAAAGTTTATAAACATGCATTGACATCAGAGTAGTTTGGCCAGTCATTGGAAAAACGGATATGGGAGGAGAAAAACTGAGGTAACAAGCAGGCCAAAGGTGAAACTGAATTGTATAACATACTGTGTATATTAAATTGCCACTTAATCTAGGTGAAATGTTATTTGGTAAAGTCAATCACTCTTGGAGGTCATCAGGCTAGGTGACATTGGAGGCTAGACTCCAGCAAAAATAACATTGTTACTACTGTAGCTGGTTCTTATATTGTAAGCATTTCTCCATAACTCAGCAGAGATTATTTTCTTTTACATTCATGTGTTAAAGTGGTTCTGGGAAGCCATGGAATAAGGTGACCTTCCAAATCTGTTGCTCTCTAGAAAAGTTCGAAATTCTAGGAATTCTTATACCACCACATCTGATGAACCAGATTGGGAAAAGCTGCAGGAGACTACCACGAGGTCCTAAAGTACTCTTTATTAGTATTTTTTCAGGAGAAAATGTTATGTCAGCATCCTTTTCTACATTTGTCCAATGTTTTGAATCATAAATGAAACGATCACAGTTTGGCAAATCTTCTGTTTCAAAAATGGCAGTGAAAACCAGTTAATTACCCTAAGAATTAGGAATGGAGATGGGAGAGTCACCTGTGAATTCTGAAAGGGACTTGGCTTTTGAGGCTCTCCTAACATAAATAAGGGGAAGCTGCACAAGATTTCCTTCTGGTGTGTGTTTGGCAAATCCAACTCATCTTTACAGATATTTTAAAAGAAGATGGAACCATCAACAGAAAAGTGTTGGGAGCCAAAGTATTTGGAGACCAGGTAAAGCTGCCTCGGTTTTGGGTAAAAACTGAATTTCAGTCTTCACATCCCTTCCTTTCCAACTGGGCATGTTTAGTTTACCTTTGATTCACTGACACTAGAATGCCTCTCTGTTCCACACCATTAACTCAGCCCTTTCACCTCCTTTCTCAGCAGGTTTTCTCTGTGTGTGGGTGAAAGGTACTGCTTGAGCACAGTGCATGCAGAGAGAATCTCTCCCTGTACACTAAATGCAGTGTGATCCTGAGGCTGGGAACTAAACTCTTGGAACTAGTGCATGCTGGAATACCTCTCTGTATACTAGTATATGTCCTGACCCAGCTCTGATTTGCATACCATACCTCTTGGACTGGTATTGCATCTTGACAATCCCCAGGCTTTTCTTTTCTTTTCTTTTCTTTTCTTTTCTTTTCTTTTCTTTTCTTTTCTTTTCTTGTAGCATGTCACCTTAAATTTCTCATGTTGGCCTTTTTTGTTCCCTCTTGCAGGAACAGTTGAAGCAACTCAACAGCATCATGTGGCCAGTGATGGCTCGAATGGCAAAAGAAAAGTTAGAAGAGGCAGCCAGGCAGGGTGAGAAGGGTTTCTTAGGATCTTGACAAGATTTGTGAATGAGTTAAATAGGTGCAGGTTCTGCTCCTGCCCTTTTTCGGAAAGATGAGCTGGGATCTGTAAGAGCCGTGCTGGAGGTGTTTGCCTAACAGAGTCGTCGTGACTTCCCTTATGACGGAATGTCATGATGTTGCCCCAGCATGAGGGTTGTTCGACTGCAAAGCATATGGAAACTGAGATAAATAACCATCATTTTATTTATTTAATTTATAGGCCATCTGACTCCATCCCAACTCTGGCAGTTAAATACATTTAATATATTATCTGGGTTTAATTCCCTAAGGTTTAGGGCTAGCCCATGATGCAGCACTTAATATTTATTTAGTCATTTGTGCCCCTGCTCTCTCAATCTCAAAGACTTCCAGAGCAACTTGCAGAATAATATTTTTTAGTATTTAATATTCTTCTTGGTATATAGTCTAAAAACTGACTTCTTGTTGCCTTGCAATCATAGCTTGCTTGGAAGCAACAAATCAGAATTTTACATTTGGATAATTTTATAAATTATCAATATCTTTGTTTACTCTCCAGCATGAGAGAGTGGTTGATTGTGCCATCATAGTGTTTTGTTTATAATAAGCTATGGTCCCTGGCCTATTATGTGGAAATGACATTAAGGTGTGCTGCAATCCTGTTTATTGACAGAAAATACTTCCGTTTACCATTCAAATTTCTCTAAATTGATCTGCAGGAAAGGCTGTGTGTGTGCTGGACGCAGCTATGTTGTTGGAGGCAGGCTGGTCAGAAATGGTACATGAGGTCTGGACGGTCATCATTCCTGAAGATGAGGTAGGAATTGCTGGGTTCATGATTCTTGCAACTGAAATCTCTCTCTTCCTGTTCAGTAGATGGTATTTGTCCTGTCTGCCCAAAAGCCTAGCAGGTGCAAAGTGGCTAGAAGGTTTTTTTTTTTAAAAATTGGAGCATGCAGGCATTTTGGATTTTCTTTCAATGGAAATAAAGTAATACAGTAGTTGTTTAAAAATAATCCAGTGCTGTGCTGTTACATTTATCAGGGCAAGTAGTGAATGGGATATCACAGTCATTCCAGATAATCAGCATACATGGACATTCTTCTGTGCATGGATATTTGACACATGCGTGTTGGAAAACTGTAAAGTTGTAGCGTTCAGTGATAGTCTGTGCAGGGTAGGTAGGTAAATAGGTATGAATAATTTATATCCAGATTTCTAAAAATGCAAAGCAGCTCGTATCATAACATTAAAAAGCCACAATATGCTAAAGAGGAAAATACCAGGATTACAAAACCCTAAAGCAGGAATAACATGAACAGCTCCCGTAACAGTATCATATAAGGAAAGGTTACAATTAACATCACTATAGTTAACTCTCAGCATCTGGTTCCTGAGTAAAAACCTCTTTTAAAAAAGCAAAGCATTTAAACGTGTACCTAAGAACTACTGTGAGGAAGGGGATTCTGCATTTGGCAATAGCATCCACAGAGAGCAATTTTTGCATATCATAGTTTGGTTTTCATTCAGTTAATTCCATTTCTATTCCACCCCTTCTCAAAGACTCAGTGTAGTAAAAAATGTCCAGATTCAAGGCTCTTTCAGAATTCTCTGGCACAAACTTTTCCAACCAGGCAAAAAACAATGGCTTCTTTCTTGTTTAACATTTAACTAACGTGCTGTGTGGATGTGGGATGAGGAGGTTTTTAACACACTGGTGAATTTGAAAAGGTCATTTTGCAACAGTCCTAAAAAGTTACCCAATTAAACACAAATTAACACTAGAAACTAGAAACATCCACTGAAGCCAGTTGGTGGGAGATTCAAGACAGACGTATGGAGGTACTTTTTCACCCAGGTCATAGTTATGCTGTAGAATTCATGAGCACAAGAAGGAGCGGTAACCATGATTTTGAACAGTTTTTAAAAGGAGACTAAACAAATCCATGGAGGATAAGGACATACTCATTGTGATAGCTTTAATATTAGTCTCAGTCTCAGAGGTGCTGTGCAGTATCAGGATCTCACCCTACTTTCCTTCTGCTATTCAGATGTCCTTATGGCTTCCCCCTGGATGAGGATAAGGAAGGAATGACCATCATATTCCTCGTGTGGGAGTAGCAACATTTATGCTGCCACTAATACCCCAATCCCTTACCCTTGCTGCATACTTTCCCAATGTTGAAAAGAAAAAGTGACTGTACACTCCTGAAGAGGGGGATAGGAGGAGCCAAAGCCCATGGTCCTTTGGCAGGTGGGGGAAATCCCAAGGGGAAGGAGTTTTCACCAGTGGAAAGCTACCTTCCCTCACAGCATTTCCTCTAGAGCTGAAGCTGACCTGAAAGTTAAGGAGCTCAGCTTCCAAGTTCCACAGCATCATGAGGACACAAACAGCAGTGCCAGTCTTGGAGGTGGAAGATACCTTTGTTTCAGCTGTTGTGTGGGAAGTGAATAGGAGGCTGCAGTTGTTTTCATGTCCTGCTTATAATTCACCATTAATATCTAGTTGGTAGTTGCAGGAAGAGAATACTGGACCAGGCCTTCAGTCTGGTCCAGAATGTCTTTACTTACATTCTTAGCCATGTTTTCCCAATGCAGGAGTAGCTAAGCTTCCTTTTGCATCTGTTCTTCAAGTTACACATTTATTTGTTTCCTATTCAGTGCTAAGAATACAGATAAAGCAGTTAAGAAAATGTTCTCAGTTGAAGATAAAGAAGAGAGAATGTGATCTAAGGGTTTTGTAGATTGTAACTAATAAATTTGAACAACCACCTTCTCCCATGTGAGTCTATCTGCTCTGTAGTCATCAGAATCTTTGCTCTGCTCTTGCTGCCATCAGAGGTTGAGTTATGATGGCAGGATATGTAACAGGATTTATTCTAAATTGTGAAACTTTTTACTTTAAGAAACCCAGCTAGTTCTCTCCTTATTGCTGGTTTTTTCTCATTAAAATTTTTATTAAGATACATAAAAAGTACAGTTAAAATACAAATCAAAAAGTATAGAAAAGAAAGAACTAAAAGAAAAAGGCAAAAACTAAAATAGTAAGAATAGGTAGAAAGATGAAACGGAAAGTCAGTTTCTGTTTCATCTTATTGCTGGTTTTTAAATCTGGGAGACCATGCATGATCCCAATAAAGATTACTTTATCTAATAAGCACACTCATTTCATTTCATTCTTTAAATTTTTATTTAAAAGATTTATGTGGCCATCCATCATGTGGCACACAAGAGTAATAAAAACACAAGTAATAACAACCAACAATACCAAAAAAAAAAAAAAAATCAAGAAAATACAGGGATCCACTCCATCAACTATTCAACTCTACAATCCGGGGTCTCCAACCTTACTGTCCCAGCACCTGGAGGGAAAGCCAGCTGTCCACGGCTTTCTGGAAGGTTAAGAGGCCTGCTGGATCTCAAGGGAAAGGATGTTCCACAGGGCAGGGGCTGCCACAGAAAAGGCACGCTTCCTAGGTCCCACTAGATGGCAACATTTAAGGGAAGGGGCCCCAGTGCATGCCCACTCTACCTCTTCTCTGTTTCTGTTTCTTTCAAGGCCATAAGACGCATCATAGCCAGAGATGGCCTAAGTTCAGAAGCTGCCAAACTGCGGGTGCGGAGCCAAATGTCCAATAGCCAGCGTGCGAAGCAGTCACATGTAGTACTTTGCACAATGTGGGAGCCAGAAATTACACGTGAGACGGTAAGAAACAGATATTGCTGCAGATGAGTAAGGCAGCATCCTACAGGTCTGTTAAATGGGCTTCCTTTGGAGTGCCATCCCCGATATGCTTGTTGAATGATCATCTGTCCCTTTTTTTACAGGTGGAAAAAGCTTGGGCTCTGCTCCAGAAACGCATCAAACCTGAATAGACCCGTGAACTGAGATGGGATCACCTCTTCATTCTTCCCCCTCAGTGCTGCCCGTATGGAAAGGTGTGCACCCATCAGGTGTACTCATTCCAACAAGGGCAGTAGTTGAGGGTAGAGATACAGGAAATGGAGTTCCAACTGCTTGGTGCTGTTGGGGGGTGTCTTTTTTCCCTGTTGAAAAAGGTCCAGGGAGAAGCATGAAATAATTTTTGTATATCATAGAGTTTAGTTTTCATTCAGCTGGGGTACCTGCTGAGCAGGAAGGAAAAGATGCTGCTATGTGAAGCCACAGATAGTTGCATGTTTCTGATGGAAGCAGTTTCAATAATGCTACTTACAAAACAAGGACATTCAGGGTTACATAGGCGTGGCACAAGTGCTCTGTTTTAGGCTCCGCTGCTCTGTATTTGATGTCCTATGCATAAGTTACATATAAAGAAGATAACAAAATATCTTGTCTCTGTGTGGTTGCATGCAAATGGAGAAAAATAATTTTTCTTGGTAGGTTAATTACTTCCTGAATAAACATTTGATATCAGTTTCATAGTGTTAAGTTCCAGAGATCTGAGGTCTGAATATTTCACATCTGGTAGCAGGGGAACCTCAGTCTGATTCTGGAAGAACCACATGACGCAGAGAAAAGGGGCACTTTCCCATTGCAATAACAAATGTAGTATTTTGTTCATGCATTCTTTGCCCTGAATATATGTGGTTTAAAGTTGATCCATACAGTTTTGACATTTCCTTACATCAAGTTACCACTTCTCTCCCTGCTTAACACCAATGCAAACCTCACATTAATGATGTAACTCTCTTTACAAAACAAGGGGCCTGCTAGTTAAGAGTGTGTTCCTGCACACAATGCCCCCACCACCACAATGCTTGCTTGCTTATTTATTTATTTGTTAGATTCTTTTAATTTAAAAGAAATGAAAATAATACGTTGCAAAGTACCAGCCTCTCATGTTTATTTACAAGAAGGCCAGAGGCACTCCCACACCCAGTGCCCTGCATGGAAGTGTCAACCTGTGCTGGGTGGGTGGGTGGAGAACAAACCAACACTTGAAGATTAACTGTGAGAAGGAACATCTTGGAGAACTGAAGAGTTACATCAGGAGTAATCCTCACCAGCTTAGCTTTCTGGTAAATTATTATGTTGCAGCTGTTGGGACCTAGCCTGGCAGTTCTTTTGTGGATGTGTAAGACCCTCCCCTGGCAGCTGTTTGATGGGAGTGCCACAGCAGGCTCCAAAAGTTCCAGTTATGTCTACCTGTCAAAAAGGTTGCCAGGCACTGCCCTGTGGGGTATTTCTATCCCACAGCTACTTTTGTCAGAGAAGTGGGTGCAAAAATCTAATTTGAAGCATCTTCAACAGATGGCTGTCTAGCCACTGTTTGAAAACATTCAGTGACAGGGAGCTCATAAAACCGGTCCTACTCTTTACGTTTTTCCTAATATTCAGCCAGAATCTCCATTCCTTTAAGATGATTGTTCTCTGATGTGCCCTCTTGGATGGTAGAAAACAGGTCTTGATCTTTTAATGTGTGATCTCCCTTTGAGAGTTGAAAAGGCCTACCGTACCCCTAACCAGAGTAATCTTTTCTCTGGTCTAAACATACCCAGTTTCCTTAGTCTTTCCTCTTAAGGGTTAGTATCAATGATAATCTTTGTGCATCTTCTCCACCCATTCCAGTTCCTTTAACCCTTAAGACGTGCCACACAGAACTGGACACAGCACTCAGTGTGGATTTGAACAGTGAAGAATGTAGTGGAACCATTACTTCCCATGATTTGGAAACTATGTTTCTATGGATGCAGCCTAAAAATCACATCTGCCTCAGCAGGTAGCAACACCCGATTGATGTTAGATTGACCTTAGAAGCTAAGCAGTGTTGAGCATGGTTAGTATTTGGATGGGACACTGCTAGGAAATGCCCTGGCTATATGCTAAATTTGAAAACATCCTATAATATGGCAACAACAAATCTTTTTGTTCTGTTACCAAAAAGCCCTAAATGTTATGAAGTTACTAAGCTTTAAGCTGTAAAATTGCATCTGCCTTTTTTTTTGTTTTGTTTTGTTTTTGCAGCCATATTACACTGTTGATTCATACATGGCCTGTGATCAGCTACTGTGTAATTCTGAGATTATTTTCTCTCATACTTAATGATGTGTTCTGGAGTCTTCATGGGTATTGAATGTTAGATTGGCTGGCTGACTGGCTGGCTGACTGACTGACTGACTATGGTTCCCTGGCCCTTTCCTCTAGTCATCTTGTGCTTCATCCTTTGTTCAGAATTTCTCAGAGATCAGGCTAGTTCATATAGCCTGTCAGCAACTTCCCTAAATGCTCTGAGGTGTACTCCATCTGGCTGACTATCTGAACTCATTCAAGGTTATTATATACCCTGACTAGGGATCACAAGGTGGAATCCAATCCCTTCAACCAGATCTTCATAGTTATATGTAGTGGAACATACATCTCACTCAAGACAGCTAAAATAGGAATTGCATTGTTCTGATTTTTCTTTGTTACCCATTTGCTATCTTCATAAAACAACTGAGTTTCTTTCTTCTTTTATTTTTAACATATTTGAAGACACCATCTTTACAAATCCAGGATACTTTTCCTTAGTGGCTTGTCTCACATTCCACTTCTTATAAGTGTCCTTTTTGATTTTCAACTTTTAACTAAGTATTTTGTAGAGCCATGGTGACTTCTTCTACCATCTTCCTTTTTTTTTTTTTAGTTAATTAGAATGTATTGTGATTGGATTTCTAATTTCTTCCTTTTTAAAGGAATTCCTAACCCATCTTGAATTTCTTTTCCTTTTAGATTCTCCTGCCATGGAATCTGGTTTATGACTGTTTTATTAAAATCTGCTTTCTTGACATCCAAGGCGTACATTTGACTACACTCAGTTTTAGTTTCCCATAATATCAAGAATTGCAGCATTACCAGTCATTTTCTCTTGAAGTCTCCATTATTTCCATTTTAACTACTATGACTTTCCTGCTGGCTCCTCCCTTGGTTCCTTTTGAACAGCTGTATCCTTCCCGCACTGCGTTCCATTCTTGAGAATACAGAATTTATATAATGGCTATTAAATATTTGTCTCCCTAAAATAAAACACTGTTCATCTTATTTCTCATACTTTGAGCACTGGTATACAGAAAATGGAGACAATGAACTTTGAGTCAGTCCTTTTTCTGATTTTTCACTGAGTTAACAATAAGACTCAACATAATTACCCTCTGTCTTCTGCAGTGCACAAGTCCTTATACATAACTCTTCTCAGTTCCATCTCCAACCCTAATACAATTCAGAGATTCTGATTAGAGCCCTCCTAATCTAATACAGCATGCTTTGGCCAAACACATTCTTTCCAATCCTTATGAAGTCATCTCAAGCCAGCTCTCTGTCATATAGTAACATAGATTGTGGTCCCAGGCATCAAATTTCTCTTGTGAACATCATTTCTGAAGCTAATCATTGATCTGCAGTAATCCTTCTTTCTTCTCCACTCCTTTTCCATGGACCGGAACTATAGATAAGAACACTACCAGTGTTAGAAGACATATTGCAAAACAGCCAATAAAACTGAACTCTTTTACCCTTGCAACTACTTTTCCTTAATTGTGAGGCAATAGGACTTCAAAGACAATAAAAGAACATCACACTAATTTATGGGACTAGATGTTCCAAAGGTGACAGACCCTTTGACTTAATGGGAGTGAAGAGGAGTTGCTAAATAAAAGGTAACGTGTTTTGCAGTAAAATGAGCACAGAGGGCCTGAGCAGGTATTTGCTCCCACTCAATTTTTCAGCAAAGAGAAGGGGAAGGTGGAGGAGGAAGAAGAGCATTGGGATTAGATATCTTCATTCTAAAAGCATTTTTGGAGCCAAATGCATCTTTCATGCCCTCCCATTCCTACCTGTCACGCTCCTATTAACTCTTTTTAGCCTAGTACAACCAATATCCGGATTTTTGAAAATAAAGGTGGCCTAATTCATCTCTCTTTTCTCCATTTGTATTTTGCTCAAAAAGGGGAAGAGATCTGATTTTAACTGTAGCCCTTTAGGTTCCTCCAAGAAGAAGGAAAACGTGCTTTCTTCTTGCCTGTATTAATGCAACCTAAGACTCCCCCTTCCCCTTTGCACTTAGTAAGACCCAATTTACAAGGCTTTAGGTTACTCACATATTCCATCTAAACCTGAAACTCTCTTGACATCCTTCATGAGTAGCCCTTCTCAGACTCCAGCTACGGAATTAAGCATAATTTGGAGGGCTACAGGTCCTCCACTTGTGCTGAAATCATTGCATATGTGACTTAGAAATCAGACACATGTATATTTCCCTTCCCTGTCACTCTTACCTAATTAAGAGTTCTTGGCATTTTTTAAAAAGTATTTTATAATTCCTATATTTGTTCAATAAATCTTTTCCTAGATTTTGCTGTTGTTTTTATTGTTGTTGTTCTCCTTCATGGGCAGTAGGGCTAATTTTGCTCTTTATCACTGTGTTAAAATCTAACCATGGTTTACTGAATTAACAATTGGTTGGGTTTGCCTGGCTCACTGAACCATAAACTAACCATATTGGTTGGATCTTCACAACAGTCTTTGCACGATATGCTGTTGGGGTGGGGTTTGAGCTTGGATGGTTTTGTTGTGGATCAGTGGCTTGTCTGAATCCAACCAGCTAGCCAATTCGGTAAGTCACGGCTTCAGCTGCTCAAGCTTATACTGCGCGGTGCAGATAAAGCTCCGCTGAGCCACACGCCCGCCAACCACATTTCGATCCCAGCTCCCAAAGGGATGTAAAAGGGTCTTTTTAAAGCCGAAATGGGGAAATCGGACTCTTTCCTATCTAGCTAGCGTTGTAAAGAATAACGGGGCTTACTCTCTTAAAAGAAAGACCTTCGCTGGACAGGCGCCGCAGGAAACCCCCTCGTTCGTGAAGACGGCGGGCCGGGAAAGGATGGTGGCTGATCCTCACAACCCGTTGGCTCAAGTGCCCACCGCGGGTTTCTGGTGCGGCGCCTTGTGCTAATGCGGGCAACTCCGTGCAGATGGGCGCGAACAAGCCCATCCCTGAGGGGAGCCGGCTGGGGGACTTTGGGCAACAGAGCCGCTTTCGCGCCAGCCCGGCCGCAGTCGGCGCGTCGGGCGCTCCTGGAAGGGCGTGAAGGGGAGGAGCGGGGGCGGGGGCCTCGTCGTCCGCCGGTTCATCGGGGATCGCTGGCTCTCGGGCGGCACATTTGCGCGATGGCCGGAAGCAGCCACCTCAGCAGGAGCTTGGGTGCCCTTCGGGGACTCTTCGGGAGCGGGCTGAGCCCGCGCTTTCCAAGGGGAGCCCGGTAGGAGCGAGCGCCGGAGGAAGAAGCGGTGGCTTGGGGTTGGCTGGTTCGGACGATCGGGTGGGGCTGCCTTCCCTTCTCGCGCCGGTTCGTTTCTCCCCAGACTGAGCCTGGTCCCCACCGGCGGGCGAAAGCGGCTGCCAGGAGCAGGAAGGCAGCCCGTGGCCGGAGGCTGATGGGCGGGTTTCGCAGGACAGTTTAAGCTAGGCTAGAACGGGACTGAGTATTTTGTTAGCGGGTTGTGGGCATGCTACAGAAAAGCGATTGACTTAGGCAGAGCGTGTTTATGGGAACGCCGCAACTCTTGTTTTATTAAGCCGGAATCCAATTTTTCTGACGGCTGCCGTATCATTCCTGTTTTCAACGATGCTTAATACATAATTTAAGCAGTTGAACACGGAAGATGCACATCTGGAATCACCCCGCTGAATCCCGTGGATTTATTTCTGCAGAGTAACATGCAGACAATTGTTAGGGTATCACTTCGGTGAATATTTAACAGTAATCCTAGCCTGTCTACTTAAAACTAAACCACATTGGAAGTGTGACTTATTCCCAGGTAAATATATATGGTCTTATACTTCCAGGTTTCCTGAACCTGGTGATTGCTAAGTATGTTAGACTAATGTCTCATAATCGTTGGACACAGTATATAATTTATTTCCAATAACCTGAATAAATGAGTGCATTGCCAGTTTCACTTTACAGTATTCACTTCTGAGGCTTAGAAATACATCAGTTGGGTCTTGCTATAATAATCACTAAAATCATTTTCATTCAATATAACTGGTTTAATAGCATTAAAAATAATAATGAAAATATGTTTAACGCTGGGAATTAATGTAATTCAATCAAACATAAGCATTCTGAACTCCCCATTCTTTACAGCGAGAGAATGATCATACATGCCTTAATGGAAAGTCTACTTTGAACTAAGCTGCGCTGAATTCAGTGGGAGTTATTTATTGATTCCAGATGAAATTGCAACCTTAACTTGGTTAATTTATATATTGCCTAACAGCCAAATCTCTGAGTAATTCCCATAATAAAGCTAATTCCACTTGTAACAGAATAACAATAGTACAAAACCCTTTAAAAAAATTAAAACAATTATAGAGTAAAACCAAAGGTTCTAAATAGCTCATACATGCACAAATGCACTATTGGAAATGGAAAAAAAGAATGTATCAAGGGTCAAAATTGACATCCTGCTTTCCTGCTTTCTCTCATTATTTTAGAGAAATATTATTGGTACCCCTTAAATGTGTTCCAAGTAAAAAAGGAATAGGCACAATCAAACTTGACAACTGAACAACAATACAAATATTTCCATATAATTTTCTTGGCAATGTTACAGGAGTGGTTTTCTATTGCCTTCTTCCAAGATTTTTTTTTCCATCTTCCCAGTCTAGTCTGAGCTCCTGGAATTTCCTCCTTTCCAATTATTAACTAGGTCTGACTTTTTCCTTTTCCTTTTCCTTTTCCTTTTCCTATCTTATTTTTTTTAATAGGAGGAATTGGTTACGGTTGGTTAGTAATTGCCACTTGACATAGCTGTGTTTCATTGACTGGGAATTCTGGAACCTTATGACCTTAAGACTTGGAGAAGGTCGATGATTCTCTTCCATCTGTTGTTTGTCCTAAAGGAAGCACTTATCAACAACATTATCTGCCTTCAGATGAGAAATAAGGAAGGGCTAGATCAGTGTTTCTCAACCTTGGCCGTTTGGAGAGGGGTGGACTTCAACTCCCAGAATTCCCCAGCCAGCTCTCCAAATGGCCAAGGTTGAGAAACACTGGGCTAGATAAAGGCTCACCATTGCCTGTTCTTAACCTTGCTAGCTTTCATGTCTCCCTTTCTCTTTTCTTACAGGTTGGGTGTGCCTCACTGGAGGTGTTTAAGCTCCAGGAGTTCCCTTGCTCCTCTGATTTTGAATTCCTGCTCTTTCCTGGACTGCAGATTAGTTATGAGAGAGCAGGTCCGGCCCTTCCTCAGCCTTGCAGCCCCTCTGCTTGGTGCCAAGCGAATGGAATACACTGAAATCCGTCAACTCCCGTGAGTAGCTCAGTTCTTACAGTGATTGTAAGCCATTCTTGGCTGACGTCTCACTGGATGAGATGGGGGTGTTGAGGTGTCACCTAACGAAATATAATTATCCAGTTCTCTAGTAGTATCTCCTGATTGCTTTTCCACATGAGAGTTTAGGGATTTGGTTCTTTTTTTGCATGGAGGGACATTTAGTAACATGCAATAATATTTTTAGATCCTTCCAGATGTAGGTCTGCCTCCTCAGTGAAAACCAGACTTCTACTGCTTCACTCTGTACATCTTCAGAGAAATCCTTTTATTGATTACTTGGCATATATTAAGAATATAAGAACTATGAGGGATCAGACCAAAGAACTAGTGGCTGGATTTTCACAACATGCTAAGCAGATGTGTCCCCCATGCACCCTTCTCACATCCTGATATTGTTTGAGAAGCAATGACCAAAACTGGGCATAATATTTCGGATATCAAACTTCACGTTTATCCATGGCTTGAACTGAGCAATGCCAGTAAATGTTTGAAGGGTAACCTTGGTTGATCCAAGAGTTTAGGCTTTCCTACCTTTGCCCCTAATGTCCTGATTGGTGGTTTTTGCTCACCATTCCCATTGCTTCTGCTCATGCAGGTACTCTGTTGACCAGATGTATGACATTGTAGCTGATGTTGGCAGCTATCAGCTCTTTGTTCCCTGGTGTAGCTGCTCCCGCATAATTTCCCATCACAAAGAAGTCTCCCAGGCTGAGTTGGAAGTGGGATTTCCTCCTGTGGTTGAGCGCTACGTCTCGGAGATCTCCTCAGTGCCTCATTGTCAGATCCGGGTAATGCATGATATTTGGAAGAGTTAAAGTGTTGGTGACAAATTGAGTGACTTGTTTTTATCAGAAACTGGCTGTATTCACAGGATGAATTAACCCCTGAATTACTAATCCGTGGCTCATCCAATTAATCCAATCTTCCGAATTCTGATGACACTTTGGACCAGAAATTAGCACACTTATTTGGATTCAAAACATCATACCACACTGAAATGTGGTCAGCCATTTCCTGGATCATCCAGTTGTATGTTTCAATTGTGTGACTGCCATCTTGACTTTTTTGACCACCTCTACCCCCCCAATGGTTGTCCCTGAGGGCCAGTATTGAGTGCCAATATTATTAACCCAACTTGAATCTGGTTTCAACTATTGTAGCTGCTACTTATGACTCATTTCTCCTTTCTTGAGCATTGCTCCCTTTACATGCAACGTACCCTGGGAGAAATTATGTCATTGTCCTTTGAGAAAGAACAACAGTGTTGTAACAGTTTCTCAGTGGAGATGTGACAAACTTCAGTTAAGTAATCAAAACTGAAGTTCATTCCCTTGTTTTTTTTAATGTGCTATCGCTGATACCAAGATTCTTAATGTTTCCCCACTTGAAGGTTTGCTATAGCTGACTCCAGCCTGCTGCCTTCAGGATATGCTGATGCTGATGCTGAAGGCTGTAGTTTAATACATCTGGAAAGCACTAAGTTAGAGAATGCTGGTCTGCTACATATTCATTCTTTTTTTAAAAAAAAATACCTTTTTGTTACCTAAACCCTTTAACTTATTTGAAACCAGAAATTCCAGGACTGTTTTTCCCCTTAGAGGTGATGTGATGCTGGTGCTAATGCATTAGAGCAGTGTTTCTCAACCTTGGCAGCTTTCAGAGGTGTGGACTTCAACTCCCAGAACTCCCCAGCCAGCATTAGAGAGACCACATCTTCCTTTTCAGAATGAAGGAATGCTTATCACCTGACATTAGGTTAGCCCCAACTCTGTTGGTCTTTCAGAAAGCCTTGAGGACATGGCTGTTCTTCCAGGCATGTGAGTGGAATATTAGTTGAACCCAGATGGGTTGGTTACTGGTTTCCTTGGTTCAAATACTCTGTTTCTCCTTGCTTTTGTTATTGCCTGGTCTGTACACTTTTTAATTTTGTTGGCCACCCAGAGTTGCATTTGCAAGGTGGGAAGCCCTATAAATCTAAATAAATAAATAAATAAAAACTCCAGCATAATGTAAAAAAATGTATACTGTATGTGGAATTCTGTTAAGTCATGGTGCCATATGTATTCAAAAGTGAAATGCTATTTTGTTCAGTGCAATTGTTAGTGTCACTGTGAGGTCCTAAATCAAGAGTATTCAGCTCTCAAGGGATTCCTGCCTCCCTCTACCCTCCCTGTATATATTGCAAGAAAGGTTTTTGTCATGCGGGCATCCTGTTTTGCATAGAGTTTGACCAAGTCATTTGCCTTCCCCAATCTTGGCACCGTCATATGAGTGGAGTTCAACTCCTAGAATTCCTAGCAATGACCATACTTGCTGGGGAATTCTGGGTGTTGAAGGCTGCAAATTTGAAAAATGCCCTTTGTGGTTATCCACCAAGTTTCTGGACACAGAAATCAGGTGGAAAGTTTCTCTGAATTTCTTTATGGGAAGAGGAAATTCTCCAGTTTTCTCAAGTGCAGGAGACCTTTAAGCAGAGGGACAGTAGCATTGATACAGCTGCTCCCCATCAGAGGCTTTTCTTCCTGAAATCTGAGAACCACTTTGGTCTAGTGGTTCAGGCACCGGGCTAGGAAGCAGGAGGCCGTGAGTTCTAGTCCCGCTTTAGGCATGACAGCCAGCTGGGTGACTCTGGGCCAGTCACTCTCTCCCAGCCCAACTCACCTCACAGGGTGGTTGTGAGGAAAATAGGAGGAAGAAGTATTAGGTATGTTTGTCACCTTGGGTTATTTATAAAAATAACAAAGGCGGGATAAACAAATCTAAAAAATATATATTCCTTTGGAATTTCATAGCTAGGACAGCTGCAGGTTGTGGAAGAATGATTCAAGACATTCATGCACATCCTTTTTATTGTCACTAAATAAATGCACCTGGGCATTCCACCTGTGAGAATTTCCCTGAATTTCCCTTCTTTTAAATAATTTCTAAACCAAATTCTCTTTCATCACTATGAATGAATGTGGTGGAAAAAATCAGGAGAGTTTCTCAGGTGCTGGTTTTAATGGCCATGTCCTGCCCGTTTGGGTAGAATGACCATATGATTAATCCTACAGCTGAAGCAAAAGGGTTGTCCAGTGCAAGCTGGTGTTTTTTCTGTTAAAGGGGTTTCAACCGAGCAGGCATTAATTTTGCTGATTTGTCCATCTTTCAGGCTGTGAGTAATGATGGACGGTTATTCCAGCATCTGGAGACACTATGGCAATTTAAGCCAGGACACGCAGGACTGGATTCTTGCACACTCAAGTTTTACGTAAGTGTTTTTCTCATACCAGCTCCTGATAGGGAAGGGGGAGTGACTCCAAAACCAACAGAGTATGGGGTAAGAATGTGCAAGTTGGCAAAGTCCAGTTTTATCACAAGTACAAAGGTTGGTGTATGCTTTAATTATTGCAGCTTTGTAAATTTGTCACTAATTGATTGGTTCAGTACATGTTTGGTTTTTGCAGTATTGATGTCCTGGTATTATTGTACATTTATTTTAGCAGGCATAGATATGGTCAAACATGAGAACTCTTATATATATGTGTGTGTGTGTGTACTTATGCAAACTGATTTCATCTCATTCACAGGTCTCCTTTGAGTTCAAGTCCATCCTCCATTCCCAACTGGCTAATATTTTCTTTAATGAGGTAGTCAAGCAGATGGTATCAGCGTTTGAACAGAGAGCAGAGAAGCTGTACAGCACGCAAACTGCAGCCCAGCCACACCGGACAATTCACTGCACGTGACAGATGGTTTTGGGTGCACTCAAGTCTGAGTCCTCCCTCCTGATCTCATAGAGCAAATTCCTCTTCCCATTCACATCTAGATCACTTCTTGGACACGTTTTATGAAGAGACATTATTTATGCTTATTTACCTTGCAAAAAACTCTCAAAGATGCACATTATTTAAATGATTCTGCTATTTTATGGTATATTTTGGTCTATTATAAATTATTGACTATTTAATTTTGCTGTTGTAAGGATGACTCTTTGTTACAGTGGAGACCTCTGATCACAATTGGAAACAGCAAATAATGGAATTTTTAATTTTTTTTGAAACAGCAGAAGAGTGATAGGATTTTTTTTTACTTCAGGTTTTTAAAAAGTGGCACATTTATTAGCTCACTGAATAATTTTTTGAAATATGAGGAAAACAGCAAGCTAAACATAATTTTTCTTCAGTGGCATTCATAGTGTAATTTCCTAGAATCTCCCTCTCTTTTGTAAAATAAGCCTCTATCCTCTTTTAGGTGGCATAAGATCAAGTTTTTCTTTCCTTCCTTGAAGCAACTTCTTTCAGATTAATTCAAACTACTCTAGAATTTATAGAAAATGGAATAAAACTTGGCAGGGGGGCAGTGAATTTTTCTTTAGTAGCTCACAAGAAGGTATCAGAATGGGCAAGTTGTGAGCCAGGCTTTCTCTTACTCAGATTTCTTGGAGTAGGGGCTTCTGTGATTAGTAGCAGAATTTAGCATAATGCTCTTACTAAATGATTGAAGAGTTGCAACTACTATTCTAGGACTAGTCATAAAGGAGCCCTAACAGCTACATAGGCAGTGATACAATCTGACATCTGACCTCCTGAGACTTTATACCTGAAATGCCAGAGGTAGAAGCAGGTGATTACCTAAGGCAGGAATTGCTGACAAGGTTGAGTTCAGTTGCAACAGAGAGAACACTGCCAAGCTGATTCCCACCCGAATGGTGTAATTGCTTAAGCACTGTAGAAAAACTATCACTTATGCCAAAAATGTCAATTTCCTAACTTCAGAGGTAAATGGTGATTCTGATGCAGTCCAAGTAATAACATCCCAGAAGATAAGGAAATCTTCACATGCCCAGGGGTTCCTAGAAGTATGTAGAATGCAGAACTAGGGAGGAAAAATTAAGAGAAAAAGAAAATCTACCTCCCCAGGATGAAACATAATTGTGCATGTTTGCATTGCGTGTCTGCTAGGCTTATACAGCAAAGCTCAGAAACAAAATGAAAATGTGTTGCAGGGTTCTCGTTTTGTAAATTAACCAACATACAAATAAAATATTGGGGGGGGGGCATATGTATATTTCAGTTGAGCAAGGAGAATATGGTTTGCCGATGGGAGTTTGTGGGTTGAATTCCTGGCATTTCCAGATGCTGCTCATTAGGGGAGACAATACAGCTTCAGAAGGATCAGTGATCAGTTTATGTAAGTTGGTTTCCTACTTTGTGTGTGTATATGCGTGTGAAAAAATACTCACTTTTTCAGGGTTACGACCTTCCAAACTGACAAACAATCAAAGGATAAATTGTCACATCAGCAAATACTGAAAGTTTGCCGGAAAATATTCACAATCTCAGGTAAAGGTAGCACTATAAAACACAATCTTCAAGCTTTGCTTGAATGCCCACTGAGTGGAAAAGACCAGGAATTCCAGTTCTGCTTCTTCGCAGCCTTATTAATTGTGGCTACCAACTTACCTGAGCTAACCACCAGATCCTTAAGGATCACCAACACAGATATTAATATACAGATAGGATCAAAGGTGAGGGCATTCCTTCAAATAAACTGATCCTATATATTCAGAGTATTAAAGGTTATAACTAGCACACTGAATGCTGGTTTAAGTAGAATTCTATTTCTTTAAATAATCCTCTCTTTAAAGGCAGTAGGGACCACATCCTCTCTCATTCACTATTTCTCAAATGCAAGCCAAAATCATTCCAGGCAGCTTCTCTCTGGTGGACACTGACCTCCTTTGAAATATTAGCCTTGGCTCTTAATGCCACTTCCAAGATAATCTTCAATTCAGTCAGGAAAATGATTGAACAGCAGGGTGGATGATACCTCAATAGAATCCAACTCATGTAACAGATTCCCAACAGCAGGTATAAACTTCTGAAAATGGTGGACTGTAAAACCAGGACCTGATTTCACAGATTGATAGATGAGCCCCCTGGAGCAGATTTTGGAGGTGGCTATGGACAAAACGGATGCCTTAAACCTAGTAGTAGTATAAAACACTTATTCTGTTCCTTAAACCCATTTTAAAAAGACAACAGCATGAAAATGTTGGTTCCATCCACTCTGATGATCATGTAACATTGTCAGTGATATCCCATGCAGGTCTTGGAAATCAATAAAATAAAAATAAATTTAGAAATATGGGTTGGCTACAACCATTGCCCTCTCTGTTGTAACTCAGGGCTACCTATATTCCCTACCCAACTTGGGCTCAGAGGACACAATTTGTCTCAAGTCAAGGACAAGACTTGACTTTTAGCCATGTGACAGAATCAGGTGCCACATGTGATTCAAGAGTTGCAGGTTGTACAATCCTGTGATACCTTCTAACATGGTTAATGCTACAATCTGAAAAATTTTTAAGACTTGCACATTTTTTGTCCAACTAAGGTTTAGCCCTACAAGATAGCTCACCATGTGTGTCCAAATTAAGGTCACAGATAACAGGTATCTGCCCATTACCAGACTTTGCATTCAGTAGCAGACATGGAGAGACTGCCATTAAACCAGATGATTGATGGGCAGCAGGCTCAAAAGAAAGATAGTGTCCCCAATTACCATGAGACACAGACTCTTCACGTGGTATTTACTCACTTTTGTAGATTAATACAAATGAACCATTACCATCTTATTTCCCCCATCCCCAGCAAGAGAGTGAGTGCAGCTGCTCTGGTTTCAAACACAGGCTTAGCCTTAAGTAAGTCTGGGACCAGAGCTAAGATGGTGGTGTGAGCATGGTAGAATAGCTTAACTTCTCATACAATCAAGCTCTCTCTGTTTTTCCACTTCATAGTGGCTTCTTTCTTCTTCTGAAAGAGAAGAAAAGGTGGAGACTCTGTATCCTTTCAAATATTGCTGAGTTACAGCTTACAGCATCTTTCACTACTGAGTGTGCTGACTAAATTGGGAAAGTTGTATCTAGCAATATCTGGTGGGTCAGAAGTTCCACATCCCATTTTCTTTCTTTTGACCTTGTCCCAAATCCATTGTGTGGATGTAGAAAACTGGAAGGGGCTTTTAGAGCAACAAGTCCAACCCCCTGCTCAATTGACCGATTTATGTGCCATCAAGTTGGTGTTGACTCTTAGCAACCACATAGATTTTCTCCAGGATAATCTGTCCCTAACGTGGTCCTTCAAGTCTTTCAGTGGTGTACCCATCACCTCTATAACTGAGTCCATCCACCTTGCTGCTGGTCATCCACTTCTTCCTTTCCCTTCCATCTTTCCCAGCATTAGAGCCTTCTCAGAAAGCTAGGTCTTCACATAATGTGTCTGAAATATAATAATTTGGGCCTGGTCGTTTGTGCCTTGAGTGAGACCCTGCTCAATACAATAATGCAAATTAAAGCAGTGTTTCTCAATCTTGTCAACTTTAAGGTGTGGTAATTGGTTCCACTGTCAAACTGCTCTTCCTGTTAATAAACTTTTTATAATACTCAACTGATAAGTACCTATAGCTTAACATTCATTGTTCCATGATCTACATGTTGAAATAGAAAAAATCTTGACCTTCTTCTTTGTGAACTCCTTCCAGGTATTTGTAGAATGCTATCACATTCCCACCTCAGTCATCTCTTTTCGAGCGCAAACATATCCAGCTCCTTTGATTTCTCTTCATAGGACTTAGTTTCTATTTCCTTGATTCTCCTAGCCACCCATCTCTAACCCTCTTTCAGTTGGTCTGATTTTTTTCTTAAAGTGTGAGAAGTGTGAGGTGAGAACTGGACAAAATGGAATGAAGTGAACCATTACGTCCTGTGATTTGGAAATCATGGGAACTAGAATTGTGTTTGACTTCTTTGCAGCCAGATCACATTGCTGACTCATATTTGCTTTCAATCAATACTGTTCCAATATCCTTTCCGTAAGTACTACCACCAAGCCAGGTATCTCCACCCCCACCCTGGCTCCCCATGATACACTTCTGCATTTGATTTTGGACTTCTATATTGCATGGTTTTAGGCCAATAAAGAAAAAGTACAGAACATCACACTGGGGCCTAATCCCAGCTTCCTGAGGATAAGGCTATGAGGAAAGTATGTGAGCAACATGTGGGGAAGGAGAAAAATAGCTATTTTGAATTTGTTAGAAAGCATTATGCAAAAATACTGCAAAGATGCTAACTCAAAGCCACAAAATCCAGATTATTTCTGGGCAAAATATTTGATTGTTTATTACAAAGTACCCAAAGCCATATTTATTAAGATTCCATATAATTCTGCCTTTCATTTAAATATTGTACCAATATAACATGGGCAATATTTTAACAGTACTTGACAATCTTAGGACAGATCTTCCATCAAACATGTTACAGCTATAATGGCTGCCCAGTTTATTGGACTTACCTGCTTCTTGGTAGATATTCCACATATTAACTACTAGGGGGTTTTTTTCTGCTTGCCATCTCAAAGTGGCAATGGGCAAGTAACTGCTATCAGTTCTCAGTAGTCATGGTCAGTGGGAGCTCTGAGGACTACAAAGAGGAGATTGCTTGTGGTTCTGGGGCTGCAAGTTGCCCATTAGGTAGCAAAATAAACATTACAATTCTAATGAACCAATTTTTGAGCACTGACCTTATTAGCAGCAAGTTGTCAAACAGAGGATTTGCAGAATGGTTAATTTCAAAGGAGTAGGGACAAAGCAAGTGAAAGTACAGAACTCTTGGAAAAATTTGCCCCCCTCTGCCCATGAGGATTCACCAAGGCAACAGGGGTACAATACTCATTTTCTTGTCCAAGATTCACCAACATGAATACAAGCTGTGCAAGGGTCCTCCGGCTCCCATTCACTTTAATAAGGCTTCCACAGTAGGATCTCTTGATGAACCCCAAGGCTGATTTCCTGCTGAGTTCTGTACTTCTTCCATTTCCACAAAGGTCTCCCATTATACCTGTGGCTGGGCATGAAGGTCAGCCTTTTGCACAAAATCTTCCTTATGGGTGCCATCACAGTAGGGAGGGTTCTTGGTATATTTGCACCCGCATAGCCAGGCCTTTTTTGCTTCCTCAAGTGTGAATCTCAGGGGAGAGATTTCTGGGGCATTTTTCTTATGGGTTCCATCACAGAAAGGCTGTTGGATACAGACAAAACAAAGATTGTAAACAAACCTTACAAAAGAGAGTGTTTTCTGTCTATGGATTTTATAGTCAATTTTTGGCTCAGATTACAAGAGTATCCTAGCCTGAGCAGCCTAGGTGATAGCTAAACGAAGAGGCAAGTTCGTTTTGCAAACTTTAAGCTTGGCTGTGTTGAAGAGTTCTAAAACTTTTTGTACTGGAAGGAAAGTTCTTCTTGGCAAAAACAGAAGCGGTTTCCTCATGTTCAGCCAATAAACTACTCCAACACTGGACTGACCCTCCTCCCAGCTTTGTTAAGACGGTGGGTTCCAAGTTTGGACCAAGAGGAAGATAAAAGAAACCTGGCGAAATACTGGAAGTCTACCTGCTTTTGGCTGTGCCCACAAGCACACCAGGCGTAGGGCTTCCTTGCTTGTAAGTCCACTGGAAAAGGTTCCTTGGCTGCAATCACTGGCTTGGCTGATGAGGTTGAAAGAACTGAGCAGCTTCGTATCTGCAATCAGGCAAGGCAGAGAAAGCACTGGCTTTATGAATGAGATGAGACACCTGATTAGCTAATGCCAGGCTTTATCAGGTGAAAAGTTCATACAGCTGAAAGTAGGGAGAGGCACACATTTTTTCTCTTCCACTCCTTTCTGCCATGAGGAAATGCTTAAATCCCATTTCTGGGAATGCTGCAGAGAGCAAAGGTACAAGTATATTCACCTACCTGTTTTTTGCCTTAAATTTTCACTTGCAAAGTCATGCTCTGGTACACTCAAGGTCTGACTGCTGCATTTGTCTAACTAAATAATGGGAATAATTTGAGTTTTGCTTTCCTATGGCACATAATGATTTGACATCCCCAAATAATTTTATTATCTGATTTATATACTGCTTTATTTTGCATAACTCAAGGCGGCATACATTATTTCCTCCGATTTTCCCTACAACACCCCTGTGAGGTGGGTTGGGCTGAGAGAAGATGACTGGCCTAAGTTACTCAGCTGGCTTCCAGGCCTAAGGGAGGACTGGTCCAGGACCTTAACTGCTACATCAAACTAGGTCTCATAAAGTGGTAACACTGTTCGGATATGGACCCAGGATTTGCTGGTCTGACTTGCTGAGTAACTTGGTTTCTGCTTGGAAAGAGCAACATGAAGGCTGAAGTGGCTGCATGCATATATAATAACAATATAAGCTTCTCCTAAAGGAGAGATGGGAAACTTGTGACCTTCCAGTTATTGCTGAAGTAAAACTTTCAGCATCCCTCCTCCTTGGCTATGGTGTCAGGAGTTATCAGAGTTTAAGTTCAGCAACTACCAGAGACCCACATTTCCCATTCTTGAAGATTCCTGGAAATTTTTTTTTTACAGAACTTGACTCCCAGAATCCTCTGGGAATCACCACCTCTTCCTCTTGTGTGGGGAATTTGTTTATTAATTCTCAGCAGAGGCTGCAAGTTTATGCAAGCATATGTGAGAATAAAACACACTGAATCCAGCGAGAATCACTTTTGAAAAGGTGTGCAAGGGAAGGGTATGTGCAACTGCGCTCTTGTTTATTTTTTTAAGTGTCTTTTTTGTCTGTATTTCTTCTCATTTTAACTTTGCCCCCATCATAGGTGTCTCTTCCTAACCACAACGATGCCAACATCACGTTATGCAAACTGTCCTTTCATACTTGCGTCACGTTACATTGAAGTACATAAGGGGCTGTTTGCACTGAGACTATGTAGTACATATTTCATCACTTGCCCAGCCTGAATATGGCATTGGAAACTGTTCCTGTAAACTGGGAAAAGTTCACCCTGATGCACACTTAGGAAATCAGTATTTGGATGTCATGTTAGGCTGGGCCTATATAAAAGCTCTTCTTTTAGAGTCTGAGAGACAGAATCCATGCCTCAGTACAGGGGATGGAGCAAAACAGTTCTGCACATTATACCTTGCCAGGGACATTGAAATAAACAATGCCCTACAGTATGTCTGTTTTTGAAATGTCAGCAGGTCAAAAATAAATCCTCCGGCGTCCTTTGGTGCTCACTCCTCTCCTATAGACAGGATTGCAGCAACCTCATGTACCCCAAATATACCCTTCTCTGCGGACACCTCCAGAAAATGTTCAAAAATTGCACTTTGGTCTCTATATGGAGAAGCAACGCAAAGGGAAAAGACAGCGACACTGCATTTCGGGTCGTAGGAAAGGAATGGGGAGAGGTGCCTTCGGCGAACTTTCCAGGCTCCTGCGCTTACCTGGGAGAAAAAGAGCCGACGGAAGGAGCCTGCCGCTGACGCCACGAGACCGCTGGCTTTCCGCAGCCCGGGCATGGTCGCCGGGCGACCGACGCCGCCAAGAGAGCTCCTCCCACCGCCCGGGTCACCTTCGCGGC